ATTATACTGTTTTGTACAGTATACTTGCAGTTAATAATAAAAAAGGTTGTTTTATACTTAGATTCACACTCTCCCTGCAAAAGATAGCAGTAAATAAGGAATGTTAACCAAACGTTTAAATTTATTGAGCGATATTGTTCATAGAATGGTTTGCAAAGAGTATGATCTATATTTTTATTTGTGACAGGAGCTGTATACAGGTATTTTTTTATATAATAATAAATGGTCCTCGTAAATAATTATATTCATGTACAATGACTAGTTTTAAGTGACAGATTGAATAATCCTAATAAAACAAAATAATGTGTCAGAGAATGCTGTCTAGAGGGAAATTTTACTTAGGCATTTCTGCATTTAAATGATAACAGATCTTAACAGATAGCTACTGGACGGTTGTAAACATTTTGCTTTTTACAGTTTGAACAAGATGGAAAATCTCTCTCTGTATATATATATACATCGCTGTCTCAATTCATAGTCTTTAGGAAACAAATACCATATAGATCACCGAGTGAAAACTTTCCTTAACTGTCCAAATATACTCAGCCTTTTCTCAAATACGTACAAAACATTTTCCTGTAACAAAAATGTGTATTGGTGTTAAGAGTGAGAATCATAGACCCTCAGACAACATGTCGATTTGGAGATCTGCAGAGATAAAGATTAAGGAGGTTGAGAAGAGATGATGAGAATTGGAAGTCTCTGTATCTGAATTTTATTGTAAAAGGGAATTTCTGTAGAAACACTGCACCAGGTCAAACACTGGAGAGAAATCGGCTTTGCACAACTAATATTTGGTTTCCTTTCAGAATTAATTATGTCCCTTTATGTGCAAGGCAGTGAAACCTTGCTGGTATATAAGCACTGTTAGACTTCAGATGTTATCAGGCTTTTAAGGTTTGACTTGGCTGTTGCTGGATGCCTGCTGAGCAAACAGATTTAGAAAACAGAACCACTGGCTGATGTGGTGAGGCAGACAACTTGATGACTCATACTGTATGATAAGACAGGGGAGTGACATTACTGAATTTACATTTTGTGCACTTTACTGTATGTACTGTATACTGTATGTATAGTAAGAAAGCTGGCTATACAGCACATATCTGTTGCTCTGGGTTTTGTCAACACTCATTTGTATCTAGGAAGGACTTTGAAGATAAGGATTAAATATGACTAAATAACCAAGCTTCTCCATGTAGAGAGCTGATTAACTGTAACAATTTCCCACAGACCAGTTAATAAGTGTTTCCAAGATGAGCTGTCTGCCTTCACAGAAAGAAGGCACTGTATAAGGACACCTGAAGAAGGCTCCATGGCCAAAACATTTTCTCTTTCTTCTTTTTTTCCCAGCATGGAATAAACCTATTACTTGTTCCACTGTATAAGGAAGTCTTACCTCTTTAATTCTACTGCTTTACAGCAACACCACTTTATCATATAAAACAGCCATTAAATTCAATTAAGTACGAGGTAAAAAACAGACTACATACTAAGAGCTTGTGCTTTTAAATAACAAACCTGTGTACAGAACAACATATCGTACTTTCCTATATATTGGTAATGCCTTCTATTAAAGCATGTTCCTATCCAACTAAACTGACTTTTCAATGCATTGATATAAGTAGCTAATAAAAACATGATTTGGTCTTTTTAAAAGGGATAGGAAGAGATTCAGAGGGCTGAGCCTGTGCTTTGCTTCCATTGCTGTACATAGTTGTGGATTAATTGATTGAAATATTGAATTGTTTGTCTTCAGTAAGACATTTAATAAATCAATACTAGCATATATATATATGTCAGATAAATGCTATGGTTACGTATTAAATGGGTATGTTGAAGTGAAAGGCGGTCTGGGCCTTTAAGGGTGAGTGAAAGAAGGAAAAAGCAAGAAATTGTGGTTTAAGACTGAAACTGGATCACTGACACTGCAGGCAAGCTAATTACCAGATTATTAAAGGCCTGGACTGCCTAGTAATATATTAACAAGCTCCTTTGTGCATCCTTGGAAGAACAATGCTCATTACAGCATCATTAGTGCTGAAGAATTGTAATTGTTATGTTATTTAAGGTACTGCAAAGGTTTTAAAATGTCTTGGCTGAAACAACATACTGTACAGTACTGTAAATATTCCAGGCTGACCATAATTGCCAGTCTGATGGCAAAACTGACAGGAGTGGAAAATTTAGGCCGGAAAATCCATTGCGATCACCAATTTAATTGAGTGTGGCCTATCATTTCACCACTACTGTAGTTGTAATTAAAGCTTTGCCAGTCTCTTTCATCTGTGCCCCAGTTATTGAGAGAACAATGTCATGTTATGTGCATGATCTAACAATTAAACAATGCCTTGCTCCATGTTTTAGAACAAATTGGAAAATTAAAACTGTCAAAGTTTTTGCTTTGTTGAAAATGTGTTTAGGCGGTGAGAGTGATTTAAAAAAACAAACTCTGTCTACATTTGCAAAGTGTTGCTGATGTTTTTATAACATTCCTTGTGCAACGACTACTACAAGTCCCTTGTGAATATGACAGCACATGAAATATCTGCTTTGGAAGGTTCAGATGTCATTCAGATCACATGGTGGTGAAGGTAGAAAAAGAATCTGCGCTTCTATATGGTCCAAAACGTTCATAGATGGAATAGGGTTTCTTAAGTGTTTTTTTTAATCAAAATGTGATGCTGCCATTTTACTGTTGTTTGAATCATGTCAACGCATCATAACCAACAATCCTGGATCTGACGTTTGCATATCTGCAGAAAAGGTGACAGCTGTGCAAATATACGAAAAGTATTAAATCTGTTCTTGGCCAACTGCTGCAGAAAACATGTATAATACACTGCAGTGGTACATAAAATCCAATGTATTGTGGTTTCAAAAATATTAAAGGCTAATGGGCTGTAAGAGTAAAAAATTAAAAGCAATTAAGCATTACTAGAGTATTGTGGCTGAATTTAGTGCACTTTCATTTTCTTTTCGTAACACCCTGGTATAATGGATTTGCCATTATGAATATTCCTGAACTTAAGAATTACCAAGAAGCAATACATTTACACTGCTTTCATTATCACTGAGTGCTACTCCATCACATCTAATAATAACATCTAATTATGTTACATTAAAGCTTAACCTACTGTGTACATAACAGCAGAATATATGATATGAAGTACATCAGTGTAGTTTGTTCAGAGTTAGATGTATTGATTTTGCTTGAAGTACACCTACATGTGTACATTTTTCTTCATTTTAAAGCTTTTCATGTGGGGTTTTTGTCCATTTTAGTAGAAAGTTACAGGCTTTCCAGATGCTGAGGGAGTTGTGAAAAATACCTTACAAATTTGAGAAGATTTTAAATGATCCCCAAATATAAAAATCACTTGCTAAATAGTATTCAAAGAAGACTTTACTGCAGTATTTATACAGCGCTCTGTGTGCATGTGCATGTGTGTATCTGGGGGGGTAACATGTCTTAGTATGCTTGGCCTTATCAGATTCATTTGTTACAAGCAGCAATTTCATTCAACACCAAGGTTTAAGGTCTTAAGTCTTGTTCCTTTGTCATCGGAAGTCTCTCACAAACCTTTTTCAATTAAAATGTACTAAAAGCAGTTAAAAATGTTCTTTTATTTAATGATATACATACAGTATACTGCTGTGACCTTTACCAGGATAAACACCAATGCTTGAAAGAACCTTGCTTGGCATTGTAATTTGTTTCTTAATCCATTTGTTTCCATTATGGAAAATTATGAATAACAGCACCATGACTTGATGATGTGTTCAGAGTTGGTGTCTCAAAGTTCTTGGATCATGAACTTGATTGTGGCCCTTGCTGCCTTCTGTGTGGAGTTTGCAAGGTCTTTCCAGGCATGTGTTGGCTTTCACCAGGGACTCTGGTATCCTCCCACCTCCCATAGACATGCTGGCTAGATTTGTTGGTGTATCTATTGGTGTGCATATATGGGTGTGATTTGGAATGGACAGTCATCCTGTTCGGGGTTTAACCCTGCCTTGCACCCTAGGGCCTGAGGATGTCACAACCCTTTCCAGGTTGAAACAAAGGTCCAATTAGTAATGGCGCTTGCCTGAGCATTGTGATCATGGATTCAAAGTCTGAGTCGTGTCATTGGCCAACTGTGACCAAAATTCCCCAAGCAGGAAGGTTGGACCTTCCAAAACCTTGCAGGCATGAGGTTCTGTTGGCGAGCTATGTGCCTGTTGTTCAATTGGTGCAGAACATCTGCTCTACAGTTGTATTACCTAAAAGATAAGTTGTTTGAAGGTAGGTGAGTGGGAGGACTCTTTATTACTTCCTCCTTCTCCCCTGTGTGCAGTCGTAGGGTTTGTAGCTGTGAGCCAAGAAATGAAGATGTTTTCTGAAGAAAAGATCTTCTCAGTACTCCATTCAGAAATCAGAAAGCATCTTGGCTATTCAGGAACACATATAAAAAACCATAAATGCTCTAAAATGTCCTTGCCCATGAAAGATATGTCAGCTTGTCCACCAATGATTGTATGTTTCTGGTATTAAAGTTCATTTTGCTTAACTTAAATGAAGCATTATAAGCAAAAACATGACAATTAAATAATTCATCCTTTGTATATAAGTACAGTATATGTTATGAAAGCTATTAACATTTGTTTTGTGAGCTTGAGTAAATCACAGCTTTGGAAAATAAAGACAATGGTGAATGCAACCATGATCAGACTTGTCTAGAAGAAATAAAATAAAAACCAATTTACAAATCAAAAACAGAACAAGCACGGGGCTTTTTTTTTGCTTTTCCAGCCCAAGGAAAAAATGGCTTTGAGATATGATTAAATTACCATCATGTAATGAAGCTGATTTCTAAATATACCCCTCCAGTGAGCAATTTTGCTAGTTGTACGGTACTTGGATCACATACTGGGAAATCGCAGTTCTTTTTGTAAAAATATGGATTTTGGTTTCTTAATTGTAGTTTCCCTGAAGTGATTTGTCTGTGTGGCCTACCTCACAGGTTAACTGCTGCCTTTCCCTGTGGCGCCCTCCTTGAATGTCGGTTACCATGGCGAAGCGCGAGTCTAACAGCAGCAGCCCTGTTGTCAGGCAAATAGACAAGCAGTTCCTGGTGTGTAGCATCTGTCTGGACCACTATCACAATCCCAAAGTCCTGCCCTGCCTGCATACCTTCTGCGAAAGGTAAGTGAGTCACCCAATAGAAAAACACTTCTGTCATACTGTATATCTGTCAACAGCAGTAATGGGCCATGTGTAGTTTGGATCTCTGCACCTATCCAAGAACTCAGGATTGGTCTTGAAATATCATCAAATCAGAGAGAATTTTTCATGCTGGTCAGTGCTGCTCTTTCCTTTTTCTTGTCCTAAAGCTTTTAAGGGCAGGTGGAATTGTAAAAATGAACTTTGTTAAAATGAGCCATATAAAAGTTGTCCTTGATTTTTTTTAAAAGAAGTGCGTTGGAAGTTGTGGATTTGTCTTACGCTGCTTCCTAAAATTTCCAATGATGGAACCCATCTTTCTGCATACAAATTATTTGATTTTGACCTTCAAATTTGACATTTTATAAAAAACAAAATTTGTTTTTTAAAGGAGGCGACTTTTAGAAATGGGCATACTTGTTATATACAGTTAATTGTGACTGGAAATCATTAAATTACACTGCTCACAGAGATCTCATATTCTTGTATTAAAAGGTTATATGAAAGGCATGTTTCTGTATTCATGCAATTTGGTTCACTGCACAGTCATAGAGAAAGGGTTGCTATTCTCTTAACTTTGATACTGCATGACATACTACTTCTTGCTATACTATGAAGTTATCAGTAAACTATTTAGAGCATGGTGAATGCATTGTTCATAATACAATAAGATTTGAAGCCTCCAGCCATTTCAACTGCTCTGATTCATCCACAGACAAGAATCCTCAGACACGCATTGTGCTATTCAAAGACTGTCTCTTTTGAGATCGTTATATTAACACATAATTCACGCTGTAAACCACTGTATATCTAAATATTTGATATCTCTTGGATGTTTTTTTATTTTCTACCTCTATTATAGTTTACCTGTAAATGATAAATAATTTAACAGTGCGGGGCTATGATTTTTGTCTGTATTTATTCCATGTAGCTGCAATAAAAATAATAGGTAGTGATATATAGTAAAATATTCGAACCAATGTTATGCGAGTCTAGGCACACAAGCCAAAATATTTGTATCATCAGTATTTGGGAACTAAAATTCACAGCAAAATGTGTATGCCACAGCTTTTGTTGGTAGAAAGATCCTGTAACAAAACTGTTGAGCACAAATTTGGAAATGATGTTTGAAGAATCAAATGTTATGACAAACGAAAAAGTGATATACAGGAAATATACTGTATATTTGTAGTAATATACAGTAACAAAGACTTCTGTAGACACTACATTAAAATTCTCTGTGGAGTCTTACGAGCAAATGAATGCTGCATATTGTACTCAAGGTCCCTTGTCTCTTTCTTGCTGGTCTCTGCAGGTGTCTTCAGAACTACATCCCGCCCCAGTCCCTGACTCTGTCCTGCCCAGTGTGCCGACAGACTTCCATCCTGCCTGAGAAGGGGGTCGCTGCCTTGCAGAACAACTTTTTCATCACCAACCTGATGGAGGTCCTGCAGCGAGACCCAGAGTGTGCCAGGCCCGAGGCCTGCAGCGTGCTGGAGTCTGTCAGCGCTGCAGCAGCTGGCAAACCCCTGTCCTGCCCCAACCACGAGGGCAAGGTACCCCACTGCCTCTGGGGGTAGGGACAAGGGGTGGATAGAGGGGACACTAGGATATAGACCTTTTCAAAGAGAGTCAAAGCACAGAGACGTGCAATGCCAAGCATAGGCCTGAAACAGAAATTCAGCTAAGGCTGCAGTATTGTAGGGCCTCTTTTTTGTCTAATGTTACTTAAAATCTTAATTTTCACTTGTTTTCTTTTTCTGGGACTGCCTCACCCAAAACAAATGGAGGTTCTGGATTTTGTGATGTTGTTATTGTTTCATACCAAATTGTAAAACAAAGTTGTGTGAAGGCCTGGGGGGTAAAAACATGCAAGACATCAGCTAAGAATAATCTGACGCTAAAAAACACATTTGCTTTAGGAAAAGAGTACATAAGGAAATCTTAATGCCTGATTACAACAGCATACAGGTGAGAAAATATAATGACCAAACCAAAACCTGGTGACAAGCTTTTCTGTGTATATCTTGACAGAATAAATCCCTGTCCTCTGTGAGAGGATTAAGAACAATATTTCACCAGTATGTCTGCACCACTAGATCTTTGTATATGGAAACAACTTGAAAAATGTGCCCTGCACAGTTGACGTTATTGCTGAACAGCTCTGACTACAAAAGGGAATTAATGTGCTCTAGCAGCACAAAGAAGCAAATGGCTCTTCAGGGAGCAACATGTAACTCAGGAGCCCACGTATTATGATTTAAGATTGTGGGAAATAAATAGGACTCTTGTCTTTCTATTAAAAGTAAAAAAAGAAGCCGCTCGAGGTGTAGCATGACTTGGCGTGGCTCTCTGGTTTGCCTCTCAGGTTATGGAGTTCTACTGCGAGTCATGTGAGACTGCAATGTGCCTGGAATGCACGGAGGGGGAGCACAGGGAGCACGTGACTGTTCCTCTGCGCGATGTTCTAGAGCAGCACAAGGCAGCACTGAAGAACCAACTGGATGCCATTCGGAACAGGTGCTGTACTGAACTTGCCAGCAGCAGGTTGAAATCCCAAGCATGCGTTATGAATTGCTAAGCAAAACTGAGCTGTTGCAGAATTTCCGCTGAGAGAGTTTTTGCTACACTTTTTTTAATGGAATTTGTCTGTATTGTTACTGGAATTGGCTTCTTTTTAAGGCCATTGCTGGCTGAAGGAAGCGAGAGGGGGTGACACAATGATTGGTTTAGGTATTATGTTGGCTTAGTGGGATACGTTGCTTTAAGAAATGCATTCTGGTTTGAAACTAGCATTTGGATTTTACTGAAAGCCAGCCACCCCAGAGGTACCTGGCTCACACCCTTCCTTCCTTCCTCCCCTCAGGCTCCCCCAGCTGACAGCGGCCATCGAGCTGGTGAATGAGATCTCAAAGCAGCTGACCGAGCGCAAGAACGAAGCGGTGAGCGAAATCAGCAGCACCTTTGAAGAGCTGGAGAGAGCACTGCACCTCCGCAAGAACGCCCTCATCACAGACCTAGAGAGTATCTGCAGTGCCAAGCAGAAGGTCAACCTTTTCCTTTTTCACTTTATGCTCAGTCTTCCCTAGGGCCATCCTGTTTTTCACAACTCTAAGTGTATCTTGTATCTCTAAAGTGTCTCTTTATATCACAATCATAATTACTGTTATGAGCCAGTCAATGTTTTATTGACCGTGTGCACCTGTGGTAACTATGTTAAGACATGCGTCACTGACATATAACACCTGCTCACCTCTCAGCACTTCAGTATGCAGTTATGAATTGAAGTGTATGACTGCGATTTAAGCCACTCTGTGTATTCAACACTCCATTGCTGGTATATTTTTTTTCTTATGATTGTGGAATCTTATCACTGTAAATGGAAATCCTAGAAATCTGTCAAGCCCAGCAAATTCTTTTATGTTTTGAAAATTGTTGCCGATTTTCAATGTGAAACGTTTTGAACATAGATTGGAAGGAGCATGTAGTCAGGAATGTTAAAATGCATTCAATATGAAATTAATGTATTTTTTTGTTTTATAAAATGTGGTCATCTGCTAAAACAGATGGCACCAACAAGTGTACAGTTTTGTAGTTTTTTTTCCCCCTCATTGATGTCCTATCTGGAAAATAAGCTGATTGGGCAAAATGTCACCTTCCCAGAACATCATATCCCCATTTACATTGACAAAGAAAGCTTTTAGGTCTGAAACCAGATCATATCAGTCATTTTATAAATGAAAATATTTTTGGAATAAAACTGTTAAAAATGTTAGTTCTAATACACTTGTCCACTAGTCCGGTTGTAAGGTGTAAGTTAAGGTTTTTAACTTACTCTCTGCTCTCCTCACCTCCTTCCTCAGGTGCTGCAGGCGCAGCTGGCCTCTCTACTGCAGGGCAAAGAGCACATCCAGAGCAGCTGCAGCTTCACAGAGCAGGCCCTGAGCCATGGCAGCGCTACTGAGGTGCTCCTGGTTCGCAAGCAGATGAGTGAACGGGTCAGTGCCCTGGCCAGGCATGACTTCCCCGAGCACCCGCACGAGAACGCTCACCTGGACTGTCTGGTGGAGACTGAGGGGCTGCGACGCTCCATCCAGAACCTAGGAGTGCTTCTGACCACGAGCGCCGTGGGCCACACCAGCGTGGCCACGGGTGAGGGGCTCCGGCACGCCCTTGTGGGGCAGCACACCACTGTCACCGTGACAACCAAGGACAAGGAGGGGGAGCTGGTGAAGACGGGGAATGCCATCCTGCGTGCCGAGATCATCGCCCCGGACGGGAGCTACACCGAGGCCGAGGTGACGGACAACAAGAATGGCACGTATGAAGTGGGCTACACCCTCCGTTCTGAGGGAGAGTTCTCCTTCTCCCTCACACTGTACGACCAGCCGGTGCGGGGCAGCCCCTTCCGCCTGCGTGCGGTCAAGCCGTCCGACGTACCCCAATCACCTGACGACGTCAAGCGGCGGGTGAAGTCTCCCAGTGGCGGTGGAGGGCATGTGCGGCAGAAGGCAGTGCGCCGACCCTCCAGCATGTACAGTACAGGCAAGAAGAAGGAGAACCCCATCGAGGACGAAATGATCTACCGCGTTGGTGAGTTGAGACTCTGAATCTGACCAGACTCAAGGAAAGACTTGCAGGAGTTATTGTCTTGTTGAAGTAGTCTCAGGAGTGTACAGTACTTTCCTTCTGTGTTAGTGTACCTTGTAAAACCTCAAGGAATACCAAGCACAAAACAGTGGAATACCTTCTAATTAAATCCTTCTTAAATGATTTTGCTTTGAAAACTAATTTTAATAGGTTCTCTAAAGCTGCATTATCAGTGGTACCAACTGAGGCTTTACAGTAGTTATCATTCATCTGTTTGTCAGGAGGTTAAGCTACTGAATAAGCAGAAAGTGGATACTTTCTTACTTTTTTTCTGAAGTGATTATTTCATGTTTATTGTTTTAAAAGTTACGTTGTTCCACACACTTATCATTACCTTTAAGAACCCTTCTGTGTGTTTGTATGGCAGGGACCCGAGGCCGGGAGAAGGGAGAGTTCACTAATCTTCAGGGGATCTCTGCCTCCAGCAATGGGCGCATTGTGGTGGCAGATAGCAACAATCAGTGCATTCAGGTGAGCTTTCAATGCATATTTATTTTTCTCAGGACCTTAGCCTTTACACTCATTGGTATATTCTTTTCCTAATGTTACACTTACACACTACTACAGTACTTGAAACTCAGCTACTTGTTTAAAAGTACGCACGTTGCTTAGTATAGACTACTCGTATCCTTTCTATTCTTAGCTCTTTCGTTGTTTTTTTCTCATTTGCACTGATTTTATACCTGTAAGGATACAAGCAAGATATGTGCCAGACTCTTTTATTAACTCATTTATACTTTCTTTGATAAATAATTGCTAAAATAATAAGCACACTGAAAGTGTTTTTTGTTATGCACATTTTAATTTTACTGACGTATAATTATTGGAAGAAATCTTAAATGTTTGTATCACGTTAAGAACATTGGCCTTCCCCTTTTGCTGATATTTTACCTCCTCATGATTTATTGGCCCGTCAGGAGTTTGAGAAAGCATCACTCTTTTTCCCCTGTCCTCCTACCAAGGTGTTCTCAAACGATGGGCAGTTTAAACTGAGGTTTGGGGTCAGAGGTCGCTCACCCGGGCAGCTCCAGCGCCCTACTGGTGTGACCGTGGATATGAATGGTGACATCATTGTGGCTGATTATGACAACAGATGGGTTAGCATTTTCACCTCAGACGGGAAATTCAAGGTGAGCGAGTGTGGTTGTGGACAATGTTTCTTTTACAACAGTAGGATCCTAATATGTATCCTGTCTTTTGCTGTAGATAAATAAAAGTCTAAAGCACCATCAAAAGAGTGGTTAAGGCAATTTAGCCCATTTAGGGTGAGGAGATCCTTGATCGTTTGAGTGTACGAACAACCTATTACTTTGTGCAATGACAGCATCTAGAAGCTACCAATAGCTCACCTAGCAGTTTGGATTTAGTATTTGTTACAGTGTGCAATGTTGCAGAATGTACATGGGCTTACTTTCCAGTGGGGTTTAACCACAATGAAATGTAATACAGTAATTTGTTCCTAAAGTGAACGTACACTCAGCATAACTGTGAGGATACTCACACTTATCGTTAAACAAGAACAAGCGTACCGTGTAATGAATTATGCTTCATGATAACAAAAGATAATTTTCTCATTATTACACGTGAAATATTTTTGTGTGTACATTTTTTTATTCAGCAGTATGCTTCCGTAATTCCTTGCCCTTTCCCCTAACTTTTTTTTTTGCGTCAACGGTCAATCTATTACATGGCAGAATGTGTTTGACCTTGGTGCTAACTCAAATTCGTTTTTTTTAATAGGATGAATGCCGCAATGATCAAAATCACTTTGTGGTGCCTCAAAAGCCTGACAAATTGCCGAAAGATGAATTTTTACCGACTGTCGTTTTCTTTCAGAATAAAATCGGAGCTGGCCGCCTCATGGGGCCAAAGGGAGTAGCTGTAGATCGCAATGGGCACATCATTGCTGTTGACAACAAGGCCTGCTGTGTCTTCATCTTCCAGTCGAATGGCAAACTCGTGACTAAGTTTGGAGCAAGGGGCACGTCAGACAGGCAGTTTGCAGGTACACTGGGCAGAAATAAGGAGCTCTGATGACTTTTCTTTGGCATTTATGTCACTATGTAAAACCCTTGGTGTTAAGAAGAAGACTGTATAAGAATACAAACAGGCTTTCCAGGTCTATTAAAATAGGCAGATTTGATCTTTTGAGCTCTGCTACAAGGATAAAGAAGAGCTGGGCTCGGAATATAGAAATCTTTTCCTGCCAGGGGCGAGTTCATACGGAATTCATTCAATTTGCTATACTAATTTTGCATCAGCTTGTTATATAATACAGTATATTATTTAAGCAATTTAGTATTTATTTTGCCGCTTTATTTTACTTTAAAAACTTTGCTGAGCGTGTGGAAAGTTGTAGATTATCTCTCAAACAATCATTTTAGTAAAAAAAGATTTCCCTCAGAGGAAACAAATACAAAGAACTGGCCTGATTTTTATAGCAGATGCGTACTTTGAAAGATTAGATCTTTTAAAATCTGACTTCCTTTTCTTGTCAGTTAGATTTTCTAACATTTTCTTACATTGTGGCATCAGTACTTCAAATAGAATTTCAGTCCTCTTATTAAATGGCTTTTCTTCTGTATTACAGCACATTACCGATGAAGCCAAACTCTTTAGTTCTGCAAAGAATGTTTTCCAGTAAATTTCATTTTGTATTAGTCATTTGGTGGAACAAATTCAAGGACTTTGTTTTGGCCTAGAAAGCTTTTCTTTTTTCATCTTATTAAATTGTGACTTTTTTTCCCTCGGTGGTATTCCCACACACACAGAAACATGAAGAGAACTGGGCCAGATTTACAAATGCTTGTGATCCAGTGCACTGTTAGAAAGATAGTACATGTTAAACAGCCAACATATATCATCTATTTTATTTTCTATTTTTTCATGCATACATTTTTTTTTCATTATTTCATTGTTGTTTTCATCTATTCCTTTTTCTCTTTAGTTATATGAATGCATTTGGCAGGGTCTTGGGATCGATGAGCATCCTCCAGTCCTATGATCAAATCACCTACTGTGGTGTGCCTTCCTAAATAACCCCTTTCACAGGTTTACTGAAGTTAGAAATAACGGCCTTGCGTTGGGTGGCCTGCTTTCAGCTAACTAATACCAAGCACAATATTTCCTGTGCAGATGTCTAGCCATGAGCTACAGTATCCCCGTGTCCAGTCTTCACTTGAAGGGAATCACCCTTTTATGGCTTCTGATGTGTGCTGACACAGTCTGGTGTGAATTTGAAAAAGAAGAGATGTCAGATTTGCACATGAAGATGTTTTGCTCATGGTGGGCAAGGTAAATCCAGGTGACTAGAAGCTGATTGTTCAGGATACTGTAGTTCAGTGCTTGAAAAAGGAATATACAGCATCAGGGCTTTCTGTGCTAATCACACAGCTGAAATAGTACAGGACATCCAGTTCTGAGCTGTTGTACAGTGGTTTTAATGAATGAAAAGATCTAGATTTTTGTCTAGTTTTCTAAATGTAATTAAAAGACAAAGTACAAATTAGATGTCAGAGAACCCAGAGTGAGGGCTTCTCACACTTTGCTGGGCTGTATTTTCAACATGGGTAATACAGAAAGGGCAGAATGAAAGGCTCTGGAGGATGCCCGCTGGCCATTAGCTTTTCTGTATGGTAATAGGAGTCAGGGAGAGACCAGAAGAATTCTTAATGCCGGAGATGATGATAAAACCAAAAACACCTCTGGCCCACCATAGTAGATTTTTTTAAAAAATTGACACTTCCTTTGTGTTGCAGGAATGCCTTGTTTTACAGAACCCTTGTACCCAGATGTAACCCTGATACTAAGTGCTGGGCTCCCAGTGCCCAGTGGCTACAATATTGGGAATTCCCTAGTTCAGTACTGACCCACAGGCACATGGCAGACAATGCATTACTGGCTCTGGAAGCATAATACAGAGTTCTATCGCCTTTTCTGACCAGAACAATCCTCTGGTCTCAATCCTGTTGAAAACTGGTAGAACCAGAGGAATGTGTTCTTTCCACACCATTCCTCTCAACAACCTCAGCTGAACACAATCCTGCTTGAAGCATGGGATGAAATTGAACTTTCCAAGGAGTTGCTATTGAGGGGGGGTCCTAATGTTTTGACCAATTAATATACTTTACGTTTGCTAGGTGGGACAAACAAGAAAAAATGCTACTTGCAGCTGGAAAAAAAACTACAGTTTGTCTGAGTTCTTTGCTAACTCGGATCTGCAGATCACCTTATTTCTATATTATTTAATTTAAGAGAAGGTTTTAAATTATGTTCTGTTAAGATATTTTAGCAAAAGGAGTTTTGTGGATAATATACCTGTAATAATGAATTATGACATTTCAGTGATGTGATTTAACCCAGTCCAAGGTTGTCCTTAGGGGTTATACTGTTTGATGCAGTAACGTGTCTGTCGAGTAGAAGAACACAAGTTGCTGGTTGATGCCATCAGTCATCAAGGTGTGCCACTTTGTGCTTGCATGAGTTTCTCAATTTCATTTTTCTCCTCTACTTCAAGTGTTGGAGCTGCTAAAAAGGGAGAGTGCAGGAAGACCCACTGAATGGAGTTTTTCAGTTTATTTTTTTTTTCATTTCTGACCTTACTTTTTTTTTATTCCTTTTAGAAAAAAGTGGTGCAAACTTTGCACTGGAGCAAAAGCTTAGTAAATCTGGCCCCGTGTTCAGTAAGTATTGTGTGCTTTAATTCCCAAGGCTGTGCTTTCAGTTTTTACAAGTCTTATAAACACTTTCATTAACTTTATATACTGTACAGTATACAGTACATGTTAGAACTACCTTCAGTTTTAATTTGTCGGGGGTTGGTTTATTAGGTACAGTTAAAAATCGAATAGAAGCTTATAGAAAATATTCTAATGCAGTTACACATTCAATGGCAAAACAATTTTAGTTATAAGGCCTTTAACTTTCTTAATTACTTTTAGTATTGCATCAGTTTTGGGAAAACATGGTTGGGTGGAAGATTTGTTTCCTTATCGGCAAGTTGAATTTGTTTCATCCATTTCTCACCCAGAAAGAGGATATTAGCCAATATATTTTTACAGCTTTTGTTCTTCTGTGAGTCAGCTGTCTCAGTATTCAGTATTCTAACTCATTTTTGGAAGACACAATCTGAATAATCATTTTCTGTTGATCCAATGCTAAGATGTTCTTAGGTACCTTTAATGCCTCGCCCACAATAATTTATTTGCCAGTTAAACATATAGATATATCTACTATCACCAACTATTAAGATTTTAATTACTTAAGTCTACTGAAGTGAATAGGTCATTCTTTACCAGTGAAAGTCCTAGACTTGTAAAAACCTAACAAAAAAATGCTACTTGCAGCTGAAAAACAATTTGACGTTTGAGTTCTTGGCTAACACTGTCAGTCACGTTTTTATTTCTCACTGGAGTATTTAAGAGGAAGATCTGCAGATCACCTTATTTCTATATTATTTAATTTAAGAGAAGGTTTTAAATTATTTTCTGTTAAGATATTTAACCAAAAGGTGATTTGTGGATAATATGCTTGAAATAATGAATCATGAAATTTCTTCCTGGAAGAGTGTTTCAACCTGACATTTTTTTACTTTTTTGTGAAGATATTTGCCTGAAACCCAGCTGCGGGTTATCTACAATCGCTCCAGTGGGCAACGAAACTGAGAATTCAGTACCTTTTGTTTCACATGTCATGATCATGGATTCTCTCTCCTCTCTCCTGCCATCCTTTTTCCTCTTGTGTCTTAAGGCCCTCACTTCGTTGCAGTAAATAACAAGAATGAAATTGTGGTGACAGACTTTCATAATCACTCTGTCAAGGTAAGTTGGATATTTTTCCACTTGCAGATTTTGTCATAAACTTTCACTGACCTTTGGGGCGGAGCGGTAGCACTGTGGCTAAGGATCTGCGTAGCTGGAAAGTTGCCGGATAAAATCCCACAGCTGGCAGAGGAATCCTACTCTGCCAGCTGCTACAGGGGCACTGTATAAATGGCTGACCCTGTGCTCTGACCCCAAGCTTCTCTATGGAGAGCAAGCTGGGGTATGTGAAAAGACAAATCCTAATGCAAGAAGTTGTATATGGCCATGTATATAATCTTATCCTGTTACATTGTGTCTTATGATATTGTATTGAATAAATAATGAAATTACTCATTATTTATAAATCAAAGTCAAGCACAGGTTGTAGAATGTACAGTACAGTAAGTATTGAATCCTGGATTCTTTGTTTATACCACCCCTTTAGCAGCTTGTTTGGCAACTCAAGTTTGTCTTCATTTCCTCAGGTGTATAGTGCTGATGGAGAGTTCCTTTTCAAATTTGGCTCTCATGGAGAAGGAAATGGTCAGTTCAATGCTCCAACAGGGGTGGCCGTTGATGCAAATGGTAACATCATCGTGGCAGACTGGGGAAACAGCCGAATACAGGTGAGCTTCAGATAGATTCGTTGCTTTATTGACCTGCTTGAAGAATATTGGTTTTATGGCTCAATTCAGAATGGCCTGTTGGATAGAATAAGCTTTGTTTAGACCAGAAGCATTTGCTTTAATAATAATCTTTTGTCAATCACTATGGTGGCCAGGATGGATAAAACTCAGTTACCTGTATAATTCTGAAGTTAATTCTAATTCTTTAGGCTAATTAGTTTCCACTATATATCCTCCAGAATGCTACACAGTAGAGACAATGTTCTTTTAACAAATATTCAGTATACCAACTGTTATGAATATACAAACTACGTTTTGACTCAATAAATTCACATTTTCTCATCGGTCCATAACTTTCTTCTTCTGTGGTTTAGTTGATATGTTCCTTTTTTATCACCTGGCTGAAGGATTCTGTGATGAAGTGTTGATATGACAATGATTATTATCCATCTGTCCATTTCCTAACTGCTCCTTCCAGTAAAAGGCCATGGTGCAGCTGGAGACTATCCTGGCAAACAAGGCCCCCAAGGCAGGATACACCCTGGATGGGATGCCAATTCATCACAGGGCACACACAGACACAAACACACACGCACTCACGCCAGGTCCAATTTTTCCAGAAGCCAGTTAGCATACCAGTCTGTATTTGAATTGTCCAAGAAAACTGGAGCACCTGGAGGAAACCCACACAAACATAGGGAGAACATTCAAACTCCACACAGATAGCACTGCAGTTCTGGTATTGAACTCAGGGCCCCAAGGCTGTGCAATGCTAACCACTGCTCCACCGTGTTATCAGATGTTTTAAAGTATTAGGCTTAAATATAATTGATAGCAGGAGGGTTGATTTCAAATGCGAGTTCAGACTTTCCAGTAAATGCCCTTGTATATAAAGGGGTCTCGAGGTCAATAATCCATATAAAATTAGATTATTTATTATTGATCACAATTATTTGTACTAATGTTTTTTTGCATTTCGAAGTATTACCTGTACTGCATGCCTGCATTAATCTGAAGTTTCCACAAAAATGTCTTGAATATTAGCCTTTTTTTTTCTACCAAAAGCATCTTATTTCTACTGTACTTAATAAACAACCCACCTTCAGCAGCTCCAAGCTGTAGACCATTCTAAGAGTAGTAACCTGTTACCTAAATAAGAATGTGCTCACTGTTCAAGTTTGATGCCTTTCAGGTATTTGACAGCTCAGGATCATTCCTGTCCTACATTAACACCACAGCAGACCCCCTCTATGGACCCCAAGGCCTGGCACTGACCTCTGATGGACACGTTGTGGTTGCAGACTCGGGGAACCACTGCTTCAAAGTCTACCGTTATCTGCAGTAAAGCCAGCAAAATTTTCCTGAGATTTGCCAAACAAGCACTGACCGGAGACATGTAAAATGGTGCATTTTTTATGTTACTTTGCACATTAGCAAATCTGGAAATCATAAAACCTAAGCTCTCACCTGACAAGAAGAAGAAAAAAACATCTGCTTTATGTGGGTTTCTGCTAACAGTGTGAGAAACTTCAACCACAAGAGCTAACGGACTCGTAATTCTATTTTATTTAAGAAAAATACAATTCTTATATCAGGTGAATTGAAGGATAAAAGTAAAACATGTCTGTAGATATAAAAAAGCTAACCACATACATTGGCATGTGGATAAAGAAACAAGTTAAAACATTTCTGTAGCAAAAGAAACAAGCTGGAGAGTTGAGGAGTAGTAGCGTTTCCAAATGCATGACATTTGTAGCTTATCAGAGCAGCCATGGAGAGAGCAGTGCTAATTTATCAGTAGCTTATCCAGTTTTAAAAAAAACACATAAAAAAGATGGTCGTCCTCTACTCAAGATATGAGTAGAATAAGGAGGCAGCAACGTTACTCTTTACATTCATTTCATTGAGAAAGTAATTAAATTTTTTAAGAAATAAATCACATCCATCTGTTCACTTAATTCTCAAGTACCATCTGTGCATTTACGTTTGTTGTATATTTATTCTATATTTATATATAGTATATGCTGTATATGAAATCAATCACTAATTCTTCATCTACAGTTTCAAATTCTCCTAAAACCTTCAATAAATCAAAATCAGGCTAGTATTTTGTGTGGAAGGCTGCGGATGGCAAAGTTGAGTTCTGGACTTCCCCAGCCTTGAACTTTTGAGATCTCTGTAGTATTTATTGCAAAAAGTTGACAGCACAATTCAGCATTTTTATAAAAAAAAATCTGAAAAAAAAAGAAAAAAACAGAATGGATTTAGTTTTGTCTTAATTTATTTTCTTTTTTCTACATGGTTTTATCTTTTGAAGGTTATTTTTCTAATTTTTAAATGTTTGATTTGCCAAACATCAACTTTATCGGACTTTATTAACATCATCTGCTCATTATTAGCTCCAATTCAGTTCTGTAAAGTCAGTTTCCATGGCAAACAATAACAGGAACCAATACTGGAACAAAATTACTCAGCGTTAATGCTTCAAATCCTAGATTTCAAATCTCTTACACTTGACCAAAGAAATACCATGTTCAAAACGTTCTTTTGAAGTATTCTCAACATTTTTAAAGAGAAAGAAAACATTGAGTAGCTGGTATTTGATGGATTCTTCCAGTTTCTTGTGATATGGTTCCACTGGTCATCTAAGCCCTGTGTACAGTATGTGGTATCTGGTTGTATTAATTCCTGAACAATTCCTTGAAATACATGTCTATAGAAAACAAAGCTGCCTCAACGTTATTCAATTACAAGTGAAACAAAGTGGAAAGTGTTCAAATGTATACATATTGGAGGTGAGATCTCTGCAATGGCATTTAAGAATCCAGATTGTTTTGTGGAATTAAAAACAGTTTAAGATGAATCTGAAGTACAATAAGTGACAAAAAAGTAGACTTGTGTTAGAAAACTACAGGTATGGAGGACTTTTTTATTTGGCTCACTGCCAAGTAAAATTCATATTGAATCTCATTCCTCAAAGGCTTGCATTCCATTAAATCAAAAAGCTGCTAAAAGCTTGTAGGAATAGGTACCGTTCCTTCTGTAAATAGATCTGTTTTTTTCATGAATTAGCACAGCACATTAGTGAACATCGGCTCCCTGAAGTTAGGGCTTGTTCTTGTCGCTGAAAAGTGTAGGTATTTTTTGAATTGCTGCAAAGAGATTGAGGATAATCATTTTTCTTCCTCTAGCCAGTTGCAAGTCTAGCCATCCTTCACTTCATGTATAGTATTTACTGTATCTGACTCATGAGTGTGGTAGTGGAATCCATTTCCTTATAGAAGCCTTCATTTAATTTTCTGTCAAAAGAAATCTGTAAAAATCTGCCTGTTTCTGGGTTTTAAACATTTTAAAACATCAGTTTTTGTAACTAAGAAACACTTGGCCTAAATTGGTTTGGATACTGCCAGGGCTGTACAAGGTCCAGTAACAATGAGAAATATTAGCAATCAAACCACTTGCACAGTTGATATAAAACACATTGTAAATACTAACCCAACTTTAAAAGTATCATATTGATTGAAAATCTAGACATCCCATATCATAGAATCATTATTGATGAGGTTAATTTCAGCAGGTTTGTAGTATTTGTGCTGTATTCTCTTGTGGGCTTCCCTACATGAGATAAACACTTTTCTCACAGGGTAAGGGGTGTATACAGTACATACAGTAAGCAGAGCCTGATGTGGTTTACCTTTGGGTTATGCCTTGACTAAAGCTATCTTTGGTTATATTTTGCTAATATGAAAGAGACCTGTACTAGGAAGTTAATATGAAACGCACAATTTGGTATGTCATGAGTATTTTCTATGCTGGTAAAAAACAAGATAAATAAAATCTATCAAAAATATATTGAAAACAACATATTAGTCAGAGCTGTCATTGACAGTGAATTGTATAATAACATCCCCAGAGCAGGTCATAAAAGTATCTTAACACTCTTGTCACTTTTCTTTAGTATTTCATTTTTGTTGTTGTTTTTTTTCTGAACTACTTATATACTGTGCATTCAATTCAAGGTATGGTCATATTTTCTAACCCCAATCATGTACAGTGTTATGGTCATTAACTTCTACCAGTGCATGAAACAAGACTTCGAGCAGAATTTTGTAACAAGTTATCAAGAAAGAGACATTGTCTACATTAAACTCGATGTAATTGTTTATTTGAATGGTAGAATTTTACCTATTTGAAAAAGTTAGCAGACATTGAATTGGGAAAAAGTCACTTCTTTCAGTCCTCTTTTTTTAGGGCACTTTGGATTTTCTGGCTATTGAATAGACACTTCACATCGCCGGTGTAAAGAAGAAAATCGAGTATTGCGGTGGTCAGAGTGGTATTTCAACAATTACGTTACATATTCAATAAAAATCCGAATAATGTTCAACCTCCAACAGTTCAAAATGAGGTGGCAAATTGTAAAATAAATGTGGGGCGATTTGCTTTGGAAAATCTTTGTAACAGCGGATTATTGATCTCAGCTTAATAAATACATTTAGCCAGGAGTCTTTATTTCAGCATCCGTAAACCACATAATGTACTGACCATAAAAAAAAAACTTTTAAAAGTGACAAAATCACTGACCTATCAGGAAAATGACAATCTTCTTTTGAAGGTACAGTAGTTGACTGGTGTTCCATTCCAACAACAGGACGTCTACTGTTTAAGTCACAAGCTTGTGGTGTGTGTGTGGTCACTGCTGGAAATAATACAAGCTTTACATCTGCGATGTATGCTTTGTGCCATGTTCCAGATGCTGTTTTGTGGTTGCCATGAATCACTACAAGTAATTTACTTAAACAGCTAGACACTCCCTATCAGATGATCTGTTGTAAACAGCAACTACTGCGTCATTCTGCCTTTCTGCACCACACTTTCTTACCTTCATCTGGTTAAAACCTATAGGACAAAACCTATATTTGTCACTTAATCCTTGGCTCCACTGCTGGAAAGTATGTCTGGCGTAACTTAATCCAGCTCCTAACATACTGTATCGATGGCATACAGTCTTTATTCTATTCATAAGAGGGAGCTTGTTTGTTCTGTCCTGTTCTGTTCAATTATTTCCCTTGATTTTCAACAGTCTTGACATTCAAAAGGTTAATTCACCTTATTACTGTACCTGTGCCCACTCCACTCTCACTAATGAGGTAATTTAATGCTCATGCAACTGTTGCTGAAACACTGTCAATCATGGATGATCAATCATTCAAAATGACATCACAAACATCCATTTAATATGTAAATATGTATTTTTTTTCTAGAAATACACATGCAAAGAATGGTTTCTTCTGATGCTTTGTATAGAATAAAGAAGTGCCCCCAAATGGTAAGTCAATACTGGTCTTAATAGAAAAGGTTCACTTTACTGAGGGTTGATATTTGAAGAAGCTTAAGTCAGGAGGAACAGAGCCATGAGTGTCCTGGTTTGCCACAGAAACTGTTTGACAGGAGCCATTAAGTAACACAATGAACTGAAAATCTGAAACAGAAGAACCTGAAGCTCCTCGTTTTGGAACACTAGTAAATGTTAATTAAGGTGAAGCACAAATTTTAAAAACAAGTTGAGGAGAAAAAAAGAATGGAGCAGTGGATTGTTATACAAATGCAGCAGGTTTTTACATGCTTTGATAAGACAAAAGTAGTCTGTTACCAGGCCTTGCTAGTTTTCTTGTTTCATGTACCATTTAATTTCATGGTAATAATTCATTGTAAATTCTGCTGAACTATCAGGATTATTTGTCATGGTCGTTGGACACTACACCTTTAAAGCAGCAAAATGTTTATCTAAACCAAAAAAGTAAAGCTGAACCAATTCAACAAATTGCATTACTGAATGCTGCAGGGTTGATAAAGCATTAATAAACTGATTAAGCATTATCTTATCAAGGGGATGATTGTGATTTATTTCAAGTTTTTACACAAGCATATTTGTTTCTTTGATGTACCACATGCGAGTTTGATCTTAAACAACATCATGCGTAAACTGTTAAAAAGATGTTTCTGAAAGAGTACATGCAGAAAACATTGGAATGACTCTTAAGGTTTGCTTCTCTTAAAATAATGTCATACTTGTACAGTATGTACTGTAAGTGTTTGCTGGCAGGTCTTTACAAAACTTTGCTGGTACACTATATTATCAGTTTGAAAAGAATCAAAATATTTTTACTTTTCAGAAGGGATTGCATTGAGCAGTATCTTTGTAAGACACATTGTAAAGCTCTGTAAAGTAAAGAATTGATTGGTCGAAGGGTTCTTTACTGTTTTCTATAATGTATTCATGTCTACAGAAGAATTAATGTGAGGCGATCCTTGCTTAAGATTTGAAGCTGTGAGTGAAAGGCTGGCACTTTCTCTTCTACCCTCTGGCAGAACGGAAGTCAACACTAAATGTTAATTCAAATGTTATAATTAAAATCCTTTTAATAATGTAAATGGATAATTTAACCTGAAGTCTCAATAATCATAAGGCATTTTCATAGTGCTACATAATTGAAAATCTTTAAATAGTGGCACTTTAACATTTCACTGAGATGCCTAAAACAATTTTAAGGGTGGATTTGTTGGATCTGGCGTACTGGCATATTATAAGCTTCATCCCAGTAATAATGTAAGGTTTGGTAAAATGTTATTGTCTTCATCTGTTCAGCGGGATAGAAAATTATTTAATCTTCCTTACTTCTAACTTCTTCTGAAGTTAGTTGGCCTTATTTTAAAAATGAACTAGTACCTTTAATGAAGAGTAGATAAAATGTTTGCCTTTTCTTCAGTAGACATGAGGCTCAACCAAATTCACTCTTTGTTGAGACTAATGAAGTCATTTTGTGGTGCTGTTAAAATTTGAAAGATGGTTGAAGTTATGTGAAAAAGATGTAAATGTTAAATGTGGCTTGGATCATAATTTTTGTACTTGTATGTACTTCAGCCTTTTTTGACAATTTTCCTGCCCAATTCATAGGAATCCATTTTGTGTGCTCAAGTTTAAGCACGGTTTTGTATCCTCAGTTAGTCATGCCACAACAAACCCATTCCTGTAGTGTGTGGGTATTCTACAGCTAGTGCGTAGCAGACATCCAACCCAAATTCTAAAAAAGAACTTTAGTTCAGAAAACCTGGACATGTACTGTAAGAAACTTATGGGTTGGTAATTCTAATCCCTTGAAGTTGTTCTAAAAATGTACTGAAGCTAAAAATCTCTGGTGTTAGACAGCACTGCATAAAATGCTTTGATTTGAACTAGCCATTCTTAAACTGAATTCAGTTTGGCAGTAGGGTGTCACTTGGCCCCATAATACTCTTCGAGAGAACAGGATTTTAAACTTTTGTCTTTGCTACAGTTACCGGAAGTGAATAACATCAGAAAATATTATTTTCCTAAACCACAGCCGTGCTCAGATAATGCGCTTAGCTTGCTACACTGTGCTAATGATATGATGAACATCATTGCAATCATGAGTCAGGGCATGGATTCCTTTTAACGTTTGGAATCGGTCGTGGAAACAAAGTAAACTGCGGCTTTAAACCGTGGAGAAACTCACCAACAGCAGAATACAGTTTTTAATGCAAGAAAGACAAGATATCAAATTCAAAGTTAACAATTACATCTATCAAAGCTTTAATATAATAGGTTTTAATGTATCTGTCCCCTGTGACCATGGAGCCCGTTGACCTCCCTATCTGAAATAAATGAGACCTTTTTGAAAGTCTGAAAGTGGCTTTTATGCCGGATTTTTCATTTGCCTAGAAAACCCAATCTGAGGATGATGCCGAAACATACAATGAGCCCCAGGGGGCTGAGTTATCTATTCAAGGCTTTACAGGCTGCCTGCTCAGTGTCCAAGTGAAAATGAAGTAATTTAACATCCATGCTGTCAGTACTGATGCCAAGGCTCTCCAGTTAACAAATGTTCTAAAATCTGAAAAGAATGAGTTCACATCCTTGCTTTCTTATCTAGCTCTTTTTTTCTCTCTGGATAGGTATAACTTAACCACAGCAAGCAGAGTCTGCTACTGTAAATAAACTCTAGATCACACAAACTGGGCATGTTATTACCCTAGGTACTGCATCAGCAAGACAAACAGTTTCTGGTAAAGAACACAGGCAAAACTGTGAAGTTTCAATAATGGGGCTTCCTAAACTGATAGGAACTACTTTTCTGATTGTATTCTTTGTGAAAGAGTCTTGATATGATATTGGGCACTTTAGTATAATTTGCACTTACAGCCCCAGATAATTTGTTTTGGCAATATATCCATTCTGTAAATATTGCTCAGAGGCAAAACTGATAGAGTTCATGGCGGGGAAAAAAAACTTGAATTTCACTTGAAGGTTAGATTTAAGTTTTTGCCACTATTGTTTTCAATCCAGTAGCATAATATCTGTTTAGTAAAGACTTGTATTACATCATCCTTTGAACGTACAATAATCACAGTATTTTGAATCCTGGAAAAACAAAACTTTCCCTTTTAAATCATGGAGTCATATGGTCACCCTCTTTCTCCTATGACTGAATGAATGTATACATTAGAGTTTCAATGTATTACACCCACAGCCATAGCGTAGCTGTAGAATCCAGATGGTATAGCTATAGAGGCCAGCACTGGTCTGTTGTTTTAGTAGCCTATTGTCACTGTAACACTGAATACAGTAATTTACTCCTTTTACTAAGAGAACCATGTTATGGAAAAATAAAAATATTTATGTTTTAAACACAGAAATGATATTAAATGGTTTATCTATTAAATGTGTATGTTGTGCTGTTTTCCCAGTTATATTGAACCGAACAAATCATGCTTTATAGGGTGTCATTCATGTAGAAATGATAGAGATGTTAAAGTTCCTGGGGTAATATACAGAATATAATATATATACAGTATATACTGTACACTTTCTCTGTGAGAGTTTGATATGGCAATCTGAAACCCAAACACAGAAAAGGGGATTCACACCGAAAAGGCACAGTTCTGCTTTATGTGGAGCTCTGCTGTACATTATTTCTGTCAGTATTCTGCACATTATTGATTATGCAAGATAATTTTGTTGTTTTGTGTTAATTTTATCATGAAAAAGTTTAGTGTTGCGTTACAAAATGTTTCACAGCCAACCATCTGCTTTCCCCAAATTTTACATTAAATGCTCCACCAGTTAAGTTCCAATTCTATAATTTAAAATATTGGCGTTGGCCCCAGAATCTAAAGAAGATGTGTGAAAAATATTATAATGAAAAACTGAACTGTTTTATTTCAGCATTCATTAAGACACAAAAAACAAGATGCTCAGAAACTTTAATATGATAAACTGTTTCTTGTACTTTATTGTAATCATACTTTACTTCAGTTTATTGTCACATGCACAAGTACTTTAGGAAGCATTTGAGTATGATTTAAAGGAAAGGTGTAGTGTTTTAATAGTTTGTACGTTTTGTCTAACAGTGACATTCTATACATTACCTTTTAGTAGTGTAATGTGATATGTTTAGAGCTGAAAATCAATGCTTTCATTTAAAACCTGCATTGGTTTATTTCATACTCCTGCATGAAATCATGGAGTAAACTGCAAGCTTTTCGGCTTTTGCTTGCCTTGCATTTTCCTTCTTCCGGAATTTCTTCAACCCATGTTTCATGATTAAGGAAATATTGGATACTGTAACAGAAACAGTCATTATCATCAAATCACCAAATTTATATTTTGTCACTAGATACAGTAAATGCCTTGATTGTTTACTTTTATTTTTGAAGGGGATGTGATCATGAGGAAAAGCCAGTGTACATTAACTTGATACCATTGCATCTTATTGTCATAGTACAATAATGAAAACTAATGGGGAGATAAGGCAAATGCATATGTTACATTAAGGTGCTTAGCTACAACTTCTTTACATTCTGAAAGGTCACATATCATTGAAGTCTGAATGTGCTGCTTAAGATCTTAGCTTCTCAGGGAAACATCTGCTATACAGTATAATGCAGAGTCATTAACATTCTATGAGAGTTTCTTTTTACTGTATATCACTGTTAGATAATTAGGATACTGTAAAATAACAAAACATGAATACAAAGCTCAGAGAAAATTGAATCTGATATGGTCGAGGCATACAGCATTTGGATATTTAACCCACTTGATTTACTTACTTTCCATTGGTATCAGTAGTGTCTGTGGTTTCTCCGTCTTTACCCATCACCAGATATCCCTTGCCTACTTTCATTGAAAATTCACAAGAATGTCGCTTGACCAGGTTGCGAAAGAGGTGACCGGTTTGTATGGCTTCATCTTTACCTATTATTTAAAAAGATGGTATTATAATATAAAGAGGCAACAGATATTACTCAAAACAACATCAGCATCAAAATGTTAATTTAGTGAGTCTTGGTAAACTCACAAGATCAGCTCTGTTAATAAAACATACTGATTACATATTGTACACTCCCTACAATCTTACAAACAAAATTACAGTCTTGTAATAGTGGTGACAGAGGTGAAGCAAACATTTGGGTTCTTACCCATATTTTTAAATTCAAATCAATAACTGATGTTCAATGTAGACAAGCACAGAAAATCAAACACAATCAAACTACTTGCAATATGGAAAAGACAGAAATATTCTACTTTTGAAAAGTGTGTTTGTTAACATGCCACTTAGATCTTTTAGATGTAAACCATGGAAAGGTAAACAATTTTAGAATGTACAGTACATAGTACAGTTAAAAATGTAGAAATCAAGTTGGGATGTTAAAATAGTAGACTAGTAATACCACATTGATAATATTGCATAAAGTGTACACTATTAAAACCACATTGCATAAAATGTGATCATCAGGTTATAAGAAAATAGAACTTAAAACATTCTTTAAAGAAATGTCAGTCACTAACAAGCTAAAAGAATTAATACTTTTGAGTGATGAACAGACTATTCAGCTCTTCAAGAATTCTCAACGACATTGACTAAGTCAGCAATATGGATTTATTGGAAATGAACAGTAAAACAAACCAGAGAATACAAGTGCTTTTAAAATTGAGACCAGGAGACACTTTTTTTTACCCAGAGGCTTGTGGAAGTCTGGGACAGGTTACTAAGCCACATTGTTGATGCTGATATCCTGACTTCTTTTAAGAACAGGCTAGATGAAATCCTTGGATCAATTACCTAAGAGTGACTAAACACTAAATGAGCTGAATAACTTCTTCCTTTTCTTTTTAACCATTGTTATGTTCTGAACTTGGTGGCACGGTGACTAGCATTGTTGCCTTGCAGTGTTGGGACCCACGGTTCAATTCCTGGAGTTTTATGTGTGTGGAGTTTGTATGTTCTCCCTGTGCTTTTGTGAGTTTCCAACCCCAGTCCAAAGGCATACTAGTAAGGTGATGGGTTTCTGGTATGCAAGTTGTCTCTCTGTCTGTGTCCTGTGAAGAACTGGTGTCAGGGTGTATCCTTCCTTATGCCTGTTGCTTTCTGAGCTAAGCTCCAGATCCCCAGTTACCCTGTATTGGATGAATGTTCTGAACTATTTCTGTTCAGAGTGGATGAAGCAACTTATCACATTCTATTCACATTTTCAAAGATGGAAATTAATCAGTTAACTGAATTATAAAAAGAAAGGCTGGGATATGGCAATACTCACTGATTCTTAGGGGTTTGGTAATCTTGACAGCAAAATACTCAAAGACACCATCATGGGTTGTGTTAAGGACAGTCACCACATAAACTGTTTGGAAAAAAAATGTAATAGAGCATTAAAGACATGTTTCTTTCTATGCACATAGAATAATGGAGCAAAGTTATAAAAATTGTCTCACCATAATCTACAATTGGTTTGTAGCATGCAAAACTTCGGCGAGTATCTTCATTCATGTTCTTACTGAAGGTTGATTTAATTTTGGGGCAGCGTCCTTAGAAAAAAAATAAAATGACAGTCATAAGACAACGGTACACATGTTTTTGCTGCAGGGAATCTAATTTACTTTTTAAAACTTTAAAATAGTTTAAAAAGAGTTCGAAATATACACTTGTAACGCAACGGGGGCTCAGGCGGGCACCCTTGCCGCATTAGGTCGGCCCCCCACCGTTGGGGGCTCGAACCCGGGACTCCCGCGTCACTCAGCAGGGACCCAGCCCGGTGAGCTAAAGAGAGGTCTCCCTACAGCCCAGTAGCTGTAGTCCTGCTATCACAGGGAAGGGCGGTGACGTCACCTGCTCTGGTAAGCCAGCTCTTACACAGTACCTGTCGGCTGTAAGCGTTACACACTGAATAAAAAAACAACTTGTATAGAAATACATTTTTGAGACTAATTTAAGAATCCCTTTTATGAGAAATGACAAACTGGATGATAGAAAGGAACCTGTGTGATGTTTATGTTAAAGCATAGCAATATAAAATAATATGAACTTTAAATTAATGGTGCATTGACCTTATTGGTGCATAATAGGGAAACCTGATAACACTTTGATTCTTGCACAGTTCATACATTAATATTGACAGAAGAATTTTGCTGAGCAATAGCATTTAACTTACCTTCTGCACAGACACATACATCTTTACTGCACAGCTTAGAGACCATAGGGCTTTGCCTGGGTGCACTGTAAAACACATTGCATCTCCTACCTAAAAAAGTAACATATTTATCCATAACACAAAAGACAACATTATACATTGCTAACAATAAAATGAAAAGCCCATGACACAAACATGTAAAAACTAAAATCTCAAAAAAGCTAGGCTTCTTCCTTGTGTTGTTTTTCATCAAATTCCCCAATAATGTCTTCTCAGGTGCATTGATGTTATCTTTCTAACAGGAAGCGTCTCTAATTTACATGAGAAATTTGCAAATCCTTAAAAATAAGATTAATAATAAGAAGAATACAAAATTGTGCTTTTTTTGCTTTATTTTACTCACCAGGGTTATAATAATCATAGATGACTGCATTAGCAGGCTGCACCAAGCCAACCGGAGCAATCTGTTTTGCTGCAAATGTCACACATTCTTGTGTGTCTGTTATCTAGGGATAAAGACATTTGTGAGCTACATTTCACCAGTAGTATATAACGTTGTGTGTGTTGCTGTACTGTATATATTACTGCTGAACTAGACTGTAGCAAACATATTACATGCTTTAGACAAGGGGTCTTTAATGCTGGTACTGGAGGGCAGCTATGTCAGCAGGTGTTCTATGTCTCTTTAAAGATCGGAATTAAATTGTTGAATTTGTGCAACTAAGAAAATAATGAGTTGATTTACAATAGGTGTTTAAGATCTGAATTAGAATGGGATCCTGCAGACACATTGGTGTAGGTTAAGAATTGACAACTCCTGTTCGGGAATACATACTATAGCTTATGAAAAACCTTCTATAGTACAGTATGTGTATAAATTGTTGAATATTGCAACTCTATTAATGTTGGTTTCATTAAAGTTATAGTATTCAATTTATATACATTTCTTACAGTTTAGGTGCACATCTTGTCCTGGCCTTTTGAGTTAAGCGGGTCTACCTACTGTATAGAGTACCCACATTCTGTACATTTATTCTCCAATTTAAGTAAATTCCTTCACAAAAACAACCCATCGAAACATATCTGTATGAAAGCTGCCATTGAATTTGTGAGGGGTGATTATTTCCTACCTCATTAAAGTAGAGAAACAGTTTTCCTTTATCCAGATCATAATGGTCAAGGTATTTGTCTGTAGATTTCACCAGCTAAGACAGAAAATAAAATGTTACAGATACTGAAGTACATGTATATAAGCTAGAATGCTTCTTATTAATCCAAACTAAGTGGAAAGAAGATGTATTTATTTAAATTTCTCCCTGTCCTTGTTCCTTGTTAATCTTGTGTATTTTGTTTCCAGAATAGAGGTGGCAAGTTTGCTTAACAGCAAAAGCTTTGAAAATCCCCATGTCATGATTTATCAAACTAGGCTTTAAAATGACTTGTAAAAAAACATAGCTGCATGTCAAAAATGTAAAAAAAGAGAAAACATTAAATGGGAAAACTAAAATAAGGTTTAAAAGAAACAATTCAAAGTTAGAAAATTCTACTCCTGTTAAATAAAAAGTACAGTACATACATCTTCTAGATCCTGTGTTTTTGGTTCCAATCCACTCAGAAGTGAGATGTCTACAATCACCATTCCTGAAGAATTCCTCCCAATTGTGCTTTAAAATGAAAGAGGGAGAATTGTTTAATACAGTGTCGGAGTACAAATGTTCTGAGAGTTTTCAGATCAGTAATATAGTCAGTATTTTACATAGAACATAATAAAGAATTTAACTTGCTCCTAATATCCAGTACTGGGGTTTACTTAATGAACTTGAAAGCAACTAAATTACATCATTTTAATATCAGTGTGATATTAAGTGACAGTATCACTAAAGTGATATGTTCTATGATATTAGAGAGAAAATATATGAATTAAACTCTCAATCTTTTATTATTTTCTTTATTTCTTATACTTTTTATAACATATTGTAACGCAACGGGGTTCAGGCAGGCGCCCTTGCCGCATTAGGTCGGCCCCACACCGTCAGGGGCTCGAACCCGGGACTCCCGCGTCATTCAACAGGGACCCAGCCCAGTGAGCTAAAGAGATCTCTCCACAGCTCAGTAGCTGTAGTCCTGCTATCACAGAGAAGGGGGCGACGTCGATGCTCTGGTAAGCCGGCTCTTACACGTCCTGATGGCCGTATGCGTTACAATATTATAAATAACCAAACTAATTAGACAAATGTGCAGTCTTGCCACATATCCAGGAACACAGACTACTATATAGAGTATCTATGCTTCAGGCAATTTTGTGTAACCTATAGTAAGATAAAGACTGCAAATGTAGCTCCTTTGCCATGACATAACCCCATAGAAAATAGCATGGACTTTCAAACAACATATAGTATTTTACTTAAATATGACTGACCCATTGCTCCAAATGACCAAACAACTTGTGCTAGTCTCAGGTTGCCCATAACTGGCTACAGAAGACCGTAAAAACCCACTCTACCATCATGAACAAGTCCAATAAGATTTGTTTAGTTAATGATGAAATGTGAGTGAAAATACAGTACATTAAAGTAGCTGATTTTGCTGCAAATGGCCGTGCCAGAGATATCAACCCAAATTGACCTAAAGTGATCACTTACTTCACACACACAGTGTACAAGACAGAGCTCTCCTTCTCCTTGGTGTCAATTTCACGTCTTTGTCTCCTTGTGTGCAGATCAAACCACTCAATCCTGCTCATGGGCTCATCTGCTGAAGGGATGCTGTCATAGTTATAATAATCATCCAGGTTGTCCCCATAATCATTGTAGTCTGCAATTTTAACACAAAAGGAGAGGTCTAGAAACACATGCATACATTTGTACTTTTATTTTCCAAAAAACTGTCATGCCTGAAATTTTGTGAGAAGTCCATTGTATTCTCAGGATTTGCAAATTTAGAGCATTTTCCTAAACATATTGGCAGAAATCCGAACTTTGGTTTATCGTCTTTATGGCATGTATCAGCCATAAATTAACTGGCAGAAGGACAAATAAATGGCGATTGAGGTTTCTGTTGGTAGATGCTACCATCCCTGGTGTATGTACAGTATGGTCTGGACTGTTTCCAATCAAAGCCACTGTCTCTGATGACTCCTACGGGCTAAAAAACATATACAGCAAACCCTTAATTATGTTTAAATATGTATGCTAATACACCATGGATCCTATATTCAAATACTTAGGCAATATTATTCCTATCATAAGATAAGATCACTTTATTAGCCATATCCAATTTCTTGCATAAGGAATTTGTCTTTTCACATAATCCAGCTTGCTCTCCATGAGAGACACAAGTACACAGACAGGGAGAGAGAAGCTTGGGGTCAGAGCATAGGGTCAGCCATTTATACAGCACCCCTGGAGTAGCTGGGGTTAACAGCCTTGCTCAGGGGCCAAACAGAGTAGGATTTCTCTGCTGGCCATGGGATTTGAACCAGCAACCTTCCAACCACAGGCACAGATCCTTAGCCACAGTACCACCACTCTGCCTACTGGGAGGCAAGATGGATTGGAAGTTTGGAAGCACTTTGTATCAAGACACCCTTTGGGACTATGTAGTGTTTTTTTTTATTTACTGTAGTTTGCAGTGTAGAGTATATAAACAATGTAAAAATAAAGGTAGACTTACTGTACTGAACTTCTCCTTGTAAGCTTACATGTAAATGAAAATAATCACATGCAGAGTCTGTCACCTTCATAGTCCTATATATCTGTACAAGCTAGAGCAAGAAAAGACAAAAATCAGAGCAAATATTTTTCTATTATTTTTCTATTATGATCATCTTAATATGACAAGATGCACATTTATATGAAAGACAAAACTAAGTTGTCGTCTTCTTCTTCTTTTTCACAGCCTTAGTCCCAGACTGTCCTGGGGTCAGCTGCTTTGGTTGCTCTTCTCCACTTGTCTCTGTCGAGCACATCTTCCTCACTCACTTCACATACCTCCATATCTTTTCTCACACAATCTATCCATCTCTTTCTAGGCCTGCCTTTTCCTCTGTTACCTTCCACCTCAAATTCCATTACCCTCTTTGTTACTTCCTCAACGTCCCTCCTCATGATATGTCCATACCACCGTAACCTCCCCTCTCGCATCTTCTCAACCACATCCACCACCCTACATTGTCTACAGATGTAGACAAAACTAAGTATTGAACACTATTCAGATTCTCAGGAAACTTACACATTCTGACCCATTGCTAAAAACTCAGGTTGTAAAAAACAAGCCGCTATATTAACTAATGCAAACATTTTTTTATAGCAGTACAAATCTTGAAGACAGATCTAAATGTAATATTTAATTTACGTCAATATATCAATCTGAAATGGAGAATACATCAATGTTATTTTTGTGAAATACAAAAAGTAAAACAAGCATTAAAATGATTAAATTTCATAACAAATACACCTTATTTAAATTTTATAATACTTAGAAATCATGTTTAGCTCTTAAAGATTACAAATAATAATTCAAACCTTTCAATAAAGCTATAAAGCAAACTAGAATTCCCATTTTGGCCATTAAGTTCCATCCAAGAGTGCAGTATTTTTGGAAATATGGAAAGCAAATGGTCAATTAAGAAAACTTACTGTCAAAGTTCCACTTCCTTTTCCAGCAACATTGACAACAAGCTTTGATCCTGGTCTGACCTGTGTGGTGTGTTAGGAAATAGTTTAAAAACATTTTTTTACACTGGACTAAGTATGTTTTTATGATAAAATCATAAAACTTTATGATTTATTGGAGTTCAAAGATTCTAAACCATATCAATTTAATTGCATTATTTATATAAAATCAAGATTTGTACTAATTGCAAGTTCCATATTTTGACAAAAAATATATTTGATTTTTTTTTTCCTGGAGTACAAAGTAGAACATTTCAGATTCACTCTGTAAGGTGGATGAATAAAGAAACAAAGAAAATAAAATAGGATAAGGGATCAGCAATACACTGAAGACCAAAGCTCCGCACGTTCAAATGCCCATTAGCAGACGCCAACAAACTCTGTTAAACTATTTCTCTTCATTTCAATGGAAAGCTGATTAAAAAGAAACAACTACCTAAGTGCATTTTAGTTTTATTTTACCCTAAGGAATGTGCTCACATATTTGTTCTAAATTAAATTCTTTTACATTTCAGAACTCCTGTAGAAATTATTTCATGGTAAAGTAAATATCCATGATACTTGACTTGTGGCTCTTCCAATTCAAAGCTTAAAAGGAATTTTCTTTAAATGGGTCTATAATAATTAAATTGGGAAACAACAGAATAGTGATTTTGTTTCATTTTGAAAAGATTGAGGCTTCTTGAAATGGTATCCAAGATGTTCGCCATTCTAATTGCTTCAGTTCAATTTCAGAATGTAGATCCTGTTTTTTAATTTCATGTTATTCAATTACTGTAAATATGAGAAACAGGGTCGCTGTGTGGGGTGCAAAAAAAACAAAGTAGGCTTTGCAGTGCACTTTTATCTTTAAATCTTCTTGAGCAACTATACCTTACTTAAGCAATCTTGCACAAATAATACCTGTAGCTAGATCAGCTCAGTATGTTTTTCTGATCCGGGATAGAAGACAAAACAATACTGAGGACCATTAACTAATTCTAAATCAGAGATAAAGGTTCCTTTTTCCAACGTTTCTTTGTGTTAGTGTTGTTGGCTCTTCCTATCACTGTGAATAGTTTTTCACCAAGCACTGAATTGTTCCCCCACTAATAGGAAATATGTTAGATTTACTGGATATGCATTGCTGCATTCTTAATCCTGCTCAGTGTGACTGGAACCATTTGATCTGATGATGTATCTCTGGAATGAACAGACTTCTACATTTAACACATTTATTTAGGATTCTGTAATTTTACAAAGATTGCTTTATGAAAACTGCCTACACTTTACCATGTCCTGTTTTTAACTGAATATCAGCATCACTTGTGCCACCTGCTGGCAGTTAACTACCTTAGAGGTCAGTTAATGAAAAAAAGTTTTAAATCAGTGGAAAGCGAATGCTAAAATTAAACTGGATTTTGGTACTGTGCATCACACAGACATTTGCTGCCCATGCTGTACTGAGGAGCCAATAATGTAAAGATACCTTTTGTGTGATTATGACAGAATGACTCTGTTTGAATCCCCCCTCAAAGTCATGAAAAGATAAGATTAAGTGGGCATCTGACTGAAATATATAAACAGGTATTGAGAAAGTCAGCTTCATGGACTTCAGAATCAACAGTGGGTGAGATCCCAGAACCAATTAGCTTCAAGCAACAAGAATGTGACATCTCTTTTGGACATTTCACAATAGGTAATAGCTAACGAACCTTGTGTGTTGGCTCAGTTAAGGCATTTATTTTAGTGAGGGAGACGGTGTCCTTTTTGCCTTTCCCGTGACAGAGTTCCACAGTCAGGCTGAAATCTTGCAAATCCAGGTTCATAATACTGTACTCTGCTAAAGCCTCTAAAGCCACAACCGTGTCCTGGACAGAGTAAGGAAAGCGTAAGGTATGAGGTTAAAACATTTTGGATACAGTATATCTGTGAAAAGGACACAGATGTGTATTCTAAAAAGGATTATTAAAAGGTATGGTTTTAATAAGAGAACCACTGCTTATAAATTCAATATTAGGTAAAAGATTTTAGAATAAAAGGATGTATATACTATATATAATATATAATCTTTATATAAAAAAGGTAAGTTCAGACTATGCTGGTTGTACTTCTTTTTTGAAATGTAAAGGAAGTTTAAATCTTGAGAAATACCCAACAACAACAATAATAATAAGTGAGTAGCCCCTTCAGGTGTTCAGGTGGAGTACTAGAAAAGTATTTTGCCAGGGGGAATTTTAGAAAGATCATTTTGTCCTACAGTAAATAGCACATTGTCTCTGGTCACTACATGGGTGCCTAAGTTTGCAGAGGGAACAGTGCCATCTTCTGGGCTACCAGCTCCTTTTGCAGCAGCAACCTAACTTTCCAAAGAAGTTTCCTGCTCTATATTGAGCAATACTTAGTTTCTGAGATCTAACAAAAATGGACCATGAAGAGGTAACACTGCTACTAATAATATTTATCATTAAAATTGAAGTAATGATTATTTACATCCTTTTGGGGTTTTATTAAACCAGAATAGGGTAAGCTCACATGAAACGTCAACTTTCAGAAGGTCAAGCATTTTGCCTTAATCGTCGCAGACTGTTTTGTTGACAAGAAAGCAAGCCCACCTGTGTGGAACGAAATCCCCCTCCAAATCTGCGCTGTTCTGTAAGCCACTTAGCCACCGATGTTGCATATGTTCTGTCTTCTACCAGTAATGTCTGGAGTAGGGCATAGGCGGTAGTCTCCACAGATATTGAGTCTGCCTGAGGGTCCTTTGATTTTTGTTCCTTTTGTTTTAGTTGTAAATTACCATTCCCTTCCCAATGGCAGATTTTCTTTTCTGAAATAAAAAGGGAAACAAATCTGTAACTAGTGTTATGGAGCAATGTACTGAGGTACAGTGAACGTTTTGTGACAATACGTCTTTGGTGTCCTACAGTACATCATGTTATTTGGATTTTAGATTGTGAACAAACAGGTCAGATTGCTTCAATAGTATTGGATAGTACTGATCATTGAGATAGCTTGAGTTATTTGTTTCTGTAAACAAATCCATTTTAAAACATGCCTTGAGTTCAAATTGCAAAAATCCATTGATTAAAAATAAGTTTAAACAGCCACTCAAAAAGCCATTGGAAACCGACAGACAAATTCCCCGCCTGAGTAGTGAAGGCCACTTTGTTGTCTTCGACGTGACTGAAGCAATCCTGTCTATGAGAAAAGCTGACTAAAGACTGGGATGCAGTTCTTCAACAATTGTGCCCCTCTTTTACCCAAGGATACACCCTGATTTGCCATAACCCTTATCATAGATAACAGATGAAAGAATGGATGTTCTGTATGTTTAAAATCTTTTTATCCAATCCATCAGAGTTCAGTGTTGTTTTTCATTTGTGCAGCTGTATCCATAATGCATTTTAGAAATTCTTAAGTGCAAAGAAAGATTTTTATTTTACTCATGTTCTGCTCCTTCCCTTTATGCCTACAGCTTTCTGCTTTTAAAAGCTGTCTTAAAGTAGCCACATAATTTGGCCATGTTACTGTGTATCAAATATCAGATACATTAAAATAATAATTTAATGAAATATTTTATCTCTGCTTTTAGCTTCTAATACAGACAAAAACACTTTGTTAAAACTACTGGAACTGTAGCTGCTCGCAAGCAATGGATTTTGAAATGCCATTGTCACACAATCTCAGTGTCTTATTTCAGTCCTTTAAACACTCAAGAAAACTGGTTTAAAAGCAGCACACAGAACAGCTGGGAATTAGTAACTAACCTTCATCACATTTTGCAAGATCTCTCAGCTTCTGTTGTGCTTTAGTGGCAGCAGCACTCCTGAGTTTAGTTAGAGACAAAGCATATGCTGTAATAGCGATAGTGAAAGGCCGTTGAATAGAATCCAGTTTCTGCTCCAAATACTGCACAGCCTTATTTATTGAATGTGTCTGAAAAGAAAGGAAGAACACTGCACATAAAGTTTTTTTAAACCTAACCCTAACCATCACAATCATCATAAAACAACAGAGCGCCCACCACATACCGGAACGACTGACTAATTTAAAAGAAAATTAGATTTTAAAAAAGGGCTAAGAGTTGTCATTGTGGGTTGTATTTAAAAGTTATTTTTTTGAGAATCATATGAACATTACATGAATTCCTCAAATACAGTAGATGCAACACAAACTGTCATTAGTTTTAACAGTATAGACTGTTATTTTTATTTAAAAATGTTATTTAAAATAAGCAACACATTATGACAAATTTAAAACAAGCAGAGCCTTATCTTTAGGGGTATTAAATCTGAGGTCTTGAAAATGTTTTGTTATACATACAGTATTTTTTTTTCCCATATGCATAGTGATAAAGTCTGATAGATTTATACCACTTCTGTAATGTTGGGCTGCTGGAGGACTTCTGTGGAGTGATGCATTGCAATTATCACGAAGGAAGTCAATGAAAGATCTCCTTCAAATACCCCAACTCCACCCTGATATGAAAAGAAAATGTCATTACATAAAAAATTACGTTAATGCTCCTCAAATACTGCTTTTAGAATTATCTATCAAATATTGAGGGTTGCAAGCACAGAACATTAAGGAACTTGAAACCTAGTGTATACACTTGAGATAAACTATTTATTTAACTAAAAATGTACTATTATATACATGGTGCAATGACTGTTTGAGAACATCATCTCTAGTGAATGATTGCTCTTTTTGTCTTACATTAATTTCTAGGGCTTCTTGACTTTTCCTTGCTAGGATGAGAGTGTTTCAGAGATGTACCCTAAAAGTATCTTTGACTACAGTAAGTAAAAAAAATGCTTAAATCAGTTCATAAACAGAAACATTACAAACCTTAAAAATCTTAATTTACCTGCATGGTCCTGTCATAAACTGGGTGTTGGTCATGGAAAGCGCCACTCTCAAGTTGTTGGGATATGAGATAAAAAACCGACTGACGAATATATTCATTTTCAATGTCTATATAGCGTCTGGTTCTGGTGAGCTCCTTTGCAATGAAGGCTGTCAACCTGAAAAAAGCCACAAATGTTTTAAATTGCATATTTAATTGTATTAATTCCTTTATTATTGTAATGTTGGAAGCTACTGTAGCTTGTTTCTCTAATCTGTAGGACATTTTCAAAGGGAGTGTTCAAAAATATCAAAGGAAGCAAAACTACCTTCTTCTCCAAAATCAATTTATTTTGCCAGAGCACTAGAAAAACAGAATTGGGTTTTAAAATCACTTGTTTAGCAAGTGTTGAATACAAATAGCTGATACAGCCTTTGAATGGTTTATTGATATGAGATTGTGCGTATGCATACTCTGAATTAACTAAAGTATTTCAAAGTAAATGCAGAGTTGCTAAAACATGTTAAGTGTTAATCCTTACCACACACTACTAGGAGTCCAAGAAAATGCCCCATATGATCCATCGTCTTTTTTGAAGGTGAGTATTCTATTGTAGCCTAAAGAAAAAAAGGATTTTATTAAATTTCAGATGCTTGAGCTTATTGTACTTTAAATGTAAATGTAAATGTAAAATTTATTTTATTTAAAATGAATAATTGAAATATTTAGACAGAGCCATCTACTGAATGTACAGTCATCTGTATTTTGATACATTTTAAGGCAATATGTCCAAGATACTTTAAATACACCCAGATCCCCATTCAAGTCTGTGAAATATAATAGTTTTTTTAATATTCTTAATAAGCAATATGTTTATTGTTTTATTAGGGCACAAGAATGTGCATATATATATATACCACCCTTAATCCCAGAAAAAAAAGGTTTAAAATGATCAATTAATCAGATATTTATTAAAATTCTTCTGAAAACAAGAAAAACAAGGAAATGTACAGTAATATTCTTCAAATAATGGATCATATTTACACAATGGAATTAATTTGAAAAGAAGCAGCATGTCAAAACTGGTCAGAATGCACACAGGTATTTGTGCAATGGGCTTAAATATAAATGTATTATTTAACATTTGCTTGTGGCTTTTACATGTGTGCTTGGTTCTGTGTGAATAACCCCCCGGGAAGCAAAATGAAAGTCTTACCATTCTGAATCATTTCAATGGCTTCGTCTTTGCGCTCGGCTTTCAGGTATATCCACTGCTCGGTGGCATCGAGATACCTCATGGCGTGTATTGCTGGAGACATTGTCACCATGGTTTGCTCCGCACAGCCTTTTGGAAGCTGAATGAGCTTATCAACTCCTTCCAAGTTGAGGCAGTTTTCCACAGATTCTCCCATAACACCGCCTTATAAACACATATCGGAACAAATCAAATTAGAGGGACTGCGTGGAAAGAGACAAAATAATTTTGCTGCCGTGTGGTTTTGACCAATAAAATGTACCTTTACTGTTATAGGAAAATAGAGGAATAAAAAATATATAAATGTCAATTAAGAGAGAAGATGGGGTGTTTGGAGTCTCTTGTACAGTAGATCTATTTAACAAAGGATTCACAATGTTGCTTATAATGACCTTTTTCATAGACAAATTCAAAATATGTTATTGAAATACAAGTGTGAAACACAGGTGTTAAATGCAGCCAGCCCTGAAAGTGCCACCTGATCACACAAGCATGGTGTGTCTGGAAGAAAAAGAAAAATTCACATTGAACACATTTACACAGCTTTTTTCCTTCTATCTCATTAACAAACGCATGTTGTGTAAGATCCTCCTACCTTTAATACTAACAAATGCTTCTGACTCTATCCCAGGAATAGAATTGTCAAGGCTTGGAATGTCAATTTCCAATTTTTTGCCATCTGCAAAGATAATTAGTGCTCAGTATTTGTGCTCAACATTGTATAATCAATGTGTTTATGTAATCAATGTGCAATCAAACAATTCGGAGACATTTACTTTAGAATGTGTGGTAGTAATACAAATAGCTTTAATGAGAAATGTATGCATTCCAAAATTTATTTTTATCTTTCTAGTATTGTATATTACTGGTCAATATTTTTCAGATATGTACTTATAAACAGACTTCAGCTTTCTCAATAGTTATACTGAATACAGTGAGCTTTCGAAAGGCTTAAGGTCATTGCATACTGTATGACATCTACTGTATAAGCAAATCACCTGTAGCATTGATGTTGTATTCTGCTTGTTCTGATAAGAGCACACCTTCGCCCTGTATGTCAAAATAAAGTTAGTAGCCTCACATTCAACAATATTGCTTATGAAATATGGGAGAACATGATTCACTCCTTGCATTTGTATTTTCATCCCAGCTAATCCCAGACCTGAACTAATTACAATAAATTTGCATTTTTTTTTGTTTTCACAAGCTGTATGCAATTGTAACTGCAAATATTTTTTATACATCAAAGGTGTCAGATTTTAAGGTAATAAGGTAATACTTAATCAGGTACAATTGTAGGAAACAAAAATATTTTAAAAATGTGCAAAAGCCTTCAACGCTTTCACTTTACACAAAAAACATTTGAAAGATGTCAAAGGTTACACAAACTTTAGATCCCTTAAAAATGAATGATACACACCAAGACTTTGAGTGTCTTTTTTATCGCATCTGAAACATTGCTGGAGGAGTACGCCACCACGTGAATGGGAATCTCCAGAACTTCCAGGGGAACCACAGCAAAATACACAGGCACAGCTGAATTTCCGGGAACAGTGATCACCTGCTTCCCATCCACATTCCCTGCACTGCAAATCTCCTTCACAGTTTTCATTGTAACTGTGACCTGGGTGGGAGAATGAATGTTAATGGAGCTCTGGCAACCATTATCATTTCACACGAGACAATAATGCAACACTTGTGTACCCAGGTATGCGCAACTGGCGATTAAGTCTGTCCATCCCAACAGAAAACGAAAACAGAGGTACAGTGGATTCAGTATCTGTGCTTAAGCTATAAAACAGGCTAAATGTTGCATTTCACACCTCTCTTCACCTATTCTGACTTCACAATACCTGATTGGCCACTCTGTCTGTCCCCTGCTCCCGCCTCCCGCTCCTCCTCTCTCCCCTTTTGTTCTCCTGCTACAGTACATTACCTTTGCTTACTGCCCTGTCTTTCTTACACCTGAAAAAGGCTCCACGGCCGAAATGTTGTGTTTCCTTCCTCATCTTTTCAGCACGGAATAAACCTATTATACTGTACATTACAGTAGTTTGGGATTTTTATATTCAGATGAAAGTGGGTGGCCACTGTTATAACTGCCATGAAACAGATTGATCAACTGGTGAAATAAAAATGTCAGTATAAATCTCCAATCTAACTCTGCCAGTTCTGTTCAATCTTTATTGTTGATGGAAGATGGTAATTAAAAGACTGTTACCTCTCGTGATTCAGGCTGGTAGTTATATACTACAGCTTTGACCTCCAGTTGCTCATTTCTCTTAACCGAGTAAGGCAATTTTAGAGATACAAAAAAGTCCTGGAAGACTGTGAATTGTGTAGGTTCAGCTACACAGAACCCTACAATGTGGAAAAAAAACAAAATACTTGCAGTATATTACATTGCTCCTATTGAAATATTCAAAGAAGACTTTAAATTCTTAAACAAATTGAAGACGTTTTGGTACCAGTTCCCAAATCATGTGCTTTATTTTCATGATTAATATTCACATACTTTGTATTTAAGAAATAAGATACAAAATGATTCGTTCTGGAGTGTGATGCAAACAGTATTAAAAAATAACATATATGAGGGCATTCTGTGAAAAGAAATTAGAATACCAAAGACTTTTATACATTTTGACTGGTTTCACTTTACAATATGCTGAGTCTGTGCTGTATAATTATAATTGTTATAATCTTAATTCTAACATTCATAAGAACCCAAATGTTAACAGAAGGGAATCTGTGCCTTGCCTTTTCTTTTAGAGATTCCTATTGTCTGAAGTTCCCAGCTCGTTATTGAATCTGGCAAGTTGACTTGGTGACTGAAAGAAAACCAGAAACATTTCTTTCTGCTAATTTTTAAAAGGTACTGCCTGAACAAACATCTCAGGTTGATTAATGTATTTTTTAGACATAATAATAAAAAGTCAGGCCATGGAAATAATATATCATATACTGTGACCGTGTTCCCATCCGAATTAAATTAGTTTGACTATTCTACATCATATTACCAGGTTTAAAATTCAGCTGCAAGTGATTTTGAAAAAAATATTTTGTATTTCATTTTACAGTAGGCCTGTGATTATCTTTAAGGTAATTCAGTGTCATTTGCAATTATATGCACAAGGATAACAACATCCTACTGATATCCAGAGCTTTGACTTACTGGAAAAGTCCAGATTTTGGTACGTCAAATATTTTCCAAAGCCAAGTTTGAGGGAAGTAACTCCGAAGATGAACAGACGTTTCATCAATTACATTTTCCTCTTCACTGCCTTCAACTGGCAAAAGGGAAAGTAATATCCAGAGATTAGGCTACCAGTTGAAAGTGAAACAAGAAATAAGAGGCTGAAAAGCTTTGATCCTAGTCCATAACTCTATTTTCCATTTCAAAACTGACCAAGTAACAACAAAGATAAAAAAAAATCTCTAGGGATGATAAAATTGATCTTACTTCTTGCTAGTCCCATTTTTCCCCTCCCAGTTTTCTTGATATATTCCCTTAGGTCATTGGCCTTCTTGCAGCAATCAAGAAAAACTCTCTGGCACTCAGATGACTTGTGCCTTGTCTTTGTGACTCTTTTTTCACAGGAGTGTTTCATTAGGCTCAACTTCGCTCCATCATTGCAGCATTTCTTTAGTGCAGCATCACTGTATTGGTTCACTGTTGACAACACAGGCAGGAAGTGATGGCTGATTAAGAGCTCAGCAAACAAAAACCTTATTATTATGGTGATAAGAATAATCAAACTGTATATCTTTATTCAAGGGGACTTACAGTAATCTAAAAAAATAGTTCTTAAATGCAAACATAATCAACAATTAGCTTTGTTTTGCACTCTTCAGTGTTTTTCTTCTTTAGACTCATATTTTAACATCACCATTTAATCCATATACAGTAGCTCTGTGTTTTAGAACACAAAAAAAGTTGCCTTTTAACTGGATCTACTGAGAAACAACTAAGTGAGTCGGACTTGGTTGGTGAACGTGATGGGATGGCTATTCTAACACTTGACTGCTCAGAAATAGTTGAGTACCTTGAGCTGCTGTGATCAACATTCTGATCAGAATTAATTGTAGACTGCTACAGTAAATGACCAGCTTGATTTGTTCTCACCCAAACTAAACTAAATTAAGACAACAAAGTTGTTGCAAAATAAGAAAACAATGGTGGAGTCTTTGAGTAAATTGTTGATGCACATAACATACAGAAAATATATTGTAACATAACATATTGTAAATGTATTGTAACTCCTGATTGTGTGGAATATATCTAAGAAGTATGCACCACTGTTTATTATTGTAATTTGTACATATTGTTATGATAATGCATAATGCGTTTCAAGAGTAAACATACCTATGGCGGAAAATTCTCTGTTGTAATTGTATGCTCGTTTAGGCCGCACCTTCCCATTCTTACACATGTGATCTAGAGTGGAATAAAAACAAACAGAATTATGTTGCATTATTTTAGATTGTTCTTAATAGACCTAGGAAGCTTAGGGATGTGGAAGGCAGGGTGTAGTTTCACATAGAGTTGGACACAGAATTGTGGCCTCCTGCTCATTTCTATTCCTTCTAAAAATATTTAGAAAAAAGGTACCGAATTAGTGGTGAAATTATCTTTCACAAGTTGGAGAGACATTAAAATTGACTAAACTGATCAAAAGGAGAAAGAAATTATTTGCTTGTACCCACATTTTATTTGTTCTTATATTTTGGAAAAACAGTTCAAATACTGATTTCCATCTGCACTTGAAATGGTCTGCAAAGAAAAAAAAGGCAAAGACTCTTCTTTTTTAAGTCCAAAGTAATATAATCATACTGTACCATACAGCACTTAATGGTAATCTTTTCATGACCAGCAGTCTTCAACTACCTGGAAATGGGTGTCCAGATATAATGATAATGATACATTGCTCAGGAAAGGCATGTTATATTTTATAACATGATTCTCACCAATTCTTATTTTAGCTGCCATTTTAAAATTAGTTAAGAATGTCAGACCAGCATCACGGAAAACGTTTATAGTGTCTTCACCCCCTCCAACTGAACAGCCAAGATCATAGGAGTTCATATAGCTGAACACCTGAAAGAACCAAGGAGACACATTACCTTATCAGGTTAACAGTGCTGAAGAGCTAATTGTTATTTTTATTCATATTTGGCTGAATTACCTCCTTTCAGATGTAATTCTTATTAATATTCTACAAAAATGGAATTTATAAGACAAGAAATCATAATTTAGGTGTGCAGAAAGCAATAAAATGCATTATCCCCACATTATTAATTCACAACTTTTAGAATGTGCGAATCAGTTTATGTCTCTTGCCGTGCAAATGAGAACTGTAAATCTAATCCTTCAGATTGTCATACAGTATGTACTGTACTTCTTAAAGTTCTAAGCTTGTCCTTTCCTAGTGTAGATATATAATGCCGTACTTTTAACAAGAAAGCTACATACTGTACAGTCATACTCACAGATTAATCAAAAAGTATACACTTTTTTAATATTTAGCAATTTTACCTTGGTAGGTGTGAGTTTGTTCAGCTTGTTGAGAATGTAAACTGCAGTGTCCACAGCAGATAATGCCACCTTTTCTGCTTGGTCTGTTTTGATTGTAATGTCCAGCAATTCCCTAGGTTTGTAGTTCTCCCTGGATGTAGTGACTTGTATCTGAAAACATAAATTACATTAAAAAGCCAGTTTCATTCTGTCTGCCCTAATCTGAGTTATTTATAAGAGCATGCAATCAATTTGCAGACACATTGGATTTTCAAACAAATAAGCATGATGCCCAAAATCTGTTTGGTAAATCTTATCATTTGATGATGAGGATTTTATCAGAACCACATATAATGATGTATTAGAAAAGCAATAAATATTATTAGTTTCCATTCTCATTCCCTGCCTCTCATAACAATATATTTAAATGTAAATGTCAGAAGACACAGAAAACGTCCCCCTACATAATACAATGCACGGTATAATGATGGTATTGTAATATATTACAAAATTTATTATATTCCGATAGTGTAACATCAAAATTCTGAAAAAGACTAGAGGCATTTTTTGGCTTGGCTGAGGAGTGAAGGCATAAAGCCTTGGGAACTTTATCCAATTATCTCAAGGGTGATAATGGTGGAAAGGGGAAGGATGGAAAACATAAAGAATAAGAAGTAAGGGGTAACTGTCAATATTCACATAAGTGTGTGAAAGATTGTAAGAAAGCTTTGGGGTTGCCTTTTTCTTTTTACATCTCCCACTACATCAGGAATTTGAGTCCCTGTGAAAAGTGGTCCAGAAAGCACTGTATACGCAAGATCTTGACAAAGGACAAAGGCAAAAATTCCAGTGGGGATCTTTGTCAATGTGCATTGGCCACAAGGACAGAAGTAAAAGCTTCCGCTACTGAGCCTTCTACTGGTGTGAGAAAGAGGGGAACGTAGCAGAAGACACAAGACATAATAGAGCAAAGGACAGAACTGGTGAAAGTGAGCACAGAACAGATGAGAAAGTGTGTCCAAATGAAGGGAGATCTGGTGGGGAGATGTGAAATGCTGAAATCTGTAAATAAATGGAGCCATTCTAAAAATAGGAGAGGTGCAATAGGGAATTCTCAGCATTGGGGGCATCTTTGATCCTCACAGCTGTAATAAAAGGAGAAATTGCTAACCTTTCCTTTGCACACATCTTTGACATCAACCCAGACGGAGTCAGCAATCATTTCTGCCTCTCCCTGATGTTCTGTGAAGTAATAGGCGATCAAGCGGAAAGCAGGAACCATGTCATAGCTGAAGGGCAGACTGATCCTTGTGAGGCTCGTCCGTCGTACTCTACTTGCTTGAATCACCATGCCTTTGCTCACCATCTGCAAACAAGACAGCCGACTCGTCAACATTTAAAGCTATAATCTATCCATCCATTTTCTAACCACTTTTGTCCAATACAGAGATGTGGGAGAGCTGCATCTTATCTTGTATCCAACAGAGTGGAATGCAGGATACATCGAGACAGGATACCAGATCATCTCAGGGCACACAAAGACGCAACACACCAGGGCCAATTTTCTGAAGCCAATTAACCTATCAGCATGTCTGACAGTGGACAGTGTCAGTGGAAACTGGAGAACCTGAAGGAAACCCACACGAACACAGGAAGAACATTCAAACTCAATGCAGATAACAGCCCAGGAGTTGAACATATCAATACTTTAGAGGCATCAATCATTGCAGAATACATGCCTTTGAAAGACAGGAAGAAACCAACAGACATGGAAAAACATGCAAACTCGCCACATGTACAGTAAGTTGTCCCAGTCTAGAACTGCTTCCCCAGGACCCAAGAACTGTGAAGTAGAAGCATTAACCACTATGTCACCATTCCTCTCTTCTTTCTTGTGTGTTCATTAATATTCAACCTCTCGGGAAAATTACAAATGTAACCACTGGTAAAACCTCAAAAGCATGAGTATGGGTAAATCATTCTCATGTTTTAAATGTTGATGTATGCTCTTGCATTAAGTGGTACCATTCACAGTGAGCATCTTCAGTAATACCATATCAAGCAGGGACAGAAAAGCAGGAAAAGATCACCAGTACTGCAATCCAAGCCAATTACTAACCAGATAGTAGATGTAAATAGGGTTTGCAGTGCCAGGGGGCTTTATGTCTCTGAAAGTCACTGTCATATCCTCATTAGGACCCAGGAGGATGTGTTGCACCTCAATGCTCAGGTAACTCTTTGATTGAGACTGGAAAGCAGCAGCTGTAATATGTCCATCACTGATGTCACCAGATTCCCCTTCAGCAATAACCTTGCATTAAGAGAGTACATTTAGTAAACCAACAGTTTCCAAAATGACAAATAAAGTTATTACAATGTAGTATTTTATGCAACATGTTAACAAAAATATTTAGTGGTTTTGAAAGTATTTCAACTGACAAAAAACAATGCTTTTTGAATAGAGACTGGAAAAGATGATTGTTTAGTTTAATTTCTTAAAATACATTTAGTCACAAAGGATTTATTGTGGTTCTTTAATTTGAATTACCAGTTTTATTTCACATTATTTCACAAATGCAGACATCTTTCACAAAATACTCATCAGACACTAGGCCGCTGATTGGTCATGCAAGCCAGGGTAGATTGAAATATTCTAAACTAAAGATGTAAAGTAAGACAACACTACATACTCACAGGCCGATAAGCTGTTATTGCAGGTTAAACAGAGAATGCCTTTACACTGCTCAGAGATATCCCCTCATACTCAGTTTATTGAAACCTACAGTATGTTTTTACCTTTACATCAAGAGATGTTGCCTTTTCAGGCACCTGGAAGGTAAACACAACTTCACCATCTTTGTTTCCACTCTTATCCAAAATCATTTCTCTCTCATTGCCACCTGACAGATGAACAACAGCCTTCATTTTCAAGTTTGGGACTGGAGTGCCATCCGGATATGTTGTAGTAGCCTGTAAAAGAAAGGATCTATCATTAATGTTACACGTACATTGTGCTGTGTCAATTAAGACATCACTTAAGATTTTCAATTATAATATTTGTTCATATTAAAATAAATTTTGTGATCATTCTGGATTATTTTGTATGCTGTAATACCATGAACTAATTTATGTCCCTAAAAGGTTCATGGAAAGTATCTCTGAAATAAATGGATAGAGTTTAGTATGCACTGCTCCTTCATGCTGTAAGAAGTAAACATAGTTTTAGATCAAGCTTCAAAGAAACAGCAGTGATGTGACAAGGACAGGCACTTGTACTGGATGCCTGAACTAAAAAAAAGACCAAAGATGACTCTGAGACATAACGCGAATAACTGCTAGACATAATGTAGCCCACTAAGGTTGAAGAACACCATTCATCCCATCCCATAGCCATTCATCCCATCTAGCCAATTTGGTAGTTACAGTTGTAACTAACTACGGCTTATCCAGACATTTCTTGAAAGAAGGGTATCTGCTTCAACAGCATGATTGAGCAGCTTTTTTAATCCTTCCATAACTCTCTTAGTAAAGAAGTGGCACCTGTTCTCAGTTTTAGATGCACTACTATTGTTTTTTGGTCTACAGAACATCAAAATTATGGTCTGGGCAGTTTGCTTCCAAAATAATGCATTAACTGAAACAAACATTATTTCTTCTATTCGGATCTGGCAATTGTACCTCCTCTTTAACTGCTTATTCAGTTTAGCAAGTGGCAATTATGATGTTCTACTGAAAATAATTTGAAAGATACTGTATGCCTATGTTTACATCTACGAGGGAAATGACCTGGCTTCAGAAGCAGGTTAAGATATCTTGAATGCAGCTACAGTATGACATACCAAGACAGAAAAGGCCCCCCCAGGCACAAAATACAGCTTGGTTTTTGACAGGTCAACCGAATAAGGTGTAGTTACAATCTTCACAATGCTGCTTTCAGTTTCTTCCAACTCTCCACCTGCAAAAAGCACAATTTACAGTATAATAATTTCATAATAAAAAGCATAACATTACTATTAAAATTCTTTAAATACTAGTGTACAATTATAGTCTAAGAATAGAAAAATGAAATAGCAGAGTTCTTATAAATATTTACTAATTAATCCCATCAAATGTACATTCAGTACACTTAAGTACTGACCATCAGAGGTTACCCTACACTTGGGTCATATTTCTTTCTTTGAAAAGAAAGTCCAGAAAATCAAGACCAGAGTCACACTATCTAGAAAAAAACATTACTTTGCATCGAAAAAAATGTAGGTACAAACTGAAAACAAGTGGAATAAGTGGTTTGGTTAACATATTAGACTGTAAATACTGTAGGTCATTCTGTAAAAATAATATACCATGTAGACATAAATAGACTACTGCAGTACAGGAATATACATAAGCAATGCATGTAAGGAAAGAATAAAGTACGAATGGAAATTTTTATTTCTGTGTGTTCTGCATCACATCAGTTACTGTATCCGTGCTTTAAATTATAATTTGTCACAGTGCAAATGCAAAGAATCGTCATTTGGCAAAATGACTTACTAGCACTTTCAAAAGTAGTCACTGCAATATAAAGGCGACAGCCTTCTAGGTATGTTATGTTTCGGTTCCTGGCAGTTTCATTCAGAGATGTAGTGAGCAGAGAGACATATCCTTGACCATCCTTGATCTAAATTGAAACATAAAGCATGTCAAATATTAATGAAAGTATTCAGTAAAACATATGTCCTGCTTTAGGGGAAAAAAAGAACCTGAAGATTTGAGAGCCATTTCTTTCTGTTTTTTTAAATATTCAATGTATGTTTTTAGGTTTTGAGTGGCAAAATAAAAAACGACAATTTGGTGTGTTATTGTGAAGTACAGAATCCAGTCATAACACAATTAGCACAACCAAACAGAATAGAATTGTGTGAGTTATTCACCATCTCAGCTTAAGCTGAGTACTGTAAATGTCAAAACCTGTACCAGGTCTTTCATATTGCAAGAGTCTGTTTCATAGTATGGTAAGTCAATGGTTAGTCATTGTAGTTGCTAATTTTAATATAAAACAGAACCATTTGTATTGAGCTGAAGGATGAAATAAATGTGCCTTATTAAGCACAATGCTTACTTACTGAGGTCTGTATTTCAGTGCCTGGGAGGAATACCCTGTTTCCTTGTTCATCAATAACACCAAATCTTACATAGGCTATGCCATTGACACCTTTCCCGTAAGTATATCTGAAAAGCAATAACACAAATAATGTTACAATAAAATGATTATTATAATCACTGACATGTATACTCCAAACATAACACCAAAATTAAAATCCCTCCCCTTCTTACCTTGCAGAGATGTTAAAAGGAAAGGACACCTCCTTCATTATAATATAGGGCTTAGACAACTCTATCTTTACTTCAAATGATGGAAGGACTAATAAGCAAACAAAAAGAACAGTCATAAAATGCAAGCATCTCTACAAAAGCCAACAGGCTAGAATAAAGATATATTGTATGTGATACCTATAAAAAGAGCCTCGTACAAAATACTTGGGTCAGTGAAAACAGTGGAAAAATTAATATTGATTTCTTTCATTACCATTTTATCACCTACTGTAGCTCACACTATACCTATCAAATATAACGGTTATTGTCTTTTTTATTTTTGATTAAAGGATAAAAAGAAAACAAATGTCTCTAATTTACCTCCAAGTATATACTGTATAAGCAAATACAGTAGCAAGCACTGGAATCCCACAACATTTTTTATTGTTAAAAGGACTTCTTGGTTTCCCATTTTTAAGGATTAAGACTGATCAAGACCTTTGACTTGGATAATCAAACCAGTCAACCATTCATGGATAATTAAATCAAACAGTGCAGCCATATTTAGGAGACTGTTATTAAATGTAAAATAAGTTTATGCCTTGGAATGACTCCTGTCAATACTGTAATCATAGTCTGTCCAGTAGGTGGCTCCCTGAGCAAAAAGAACAGTTCTTTAGGGTTGCTATTTATAGTTTTGTTACCAAATTTCACAGTGTTGCTGATCTATGTTGCTGAATGTTGAGCTCCTAATAGGTTATAAACAAATTTCAACTTACAACAGCTCCATTTCTGTAAGAAAATAATATTCAGCTTTTAATGTGTTTAATATTTTATTGTTGTTAATTCTTTTTTTTTGGCAATGATGGACTGATGGACTTCTAAAGACAGCAATGTATTGAGATAAATTATATTATAAATTATAATGCTGAGCTAACTCAAGCTGGTACATTTTGCTTAAAATGATAGAAAGCTGCTGTAACATTCAAATAAAATTAAAAAATACTTTATGATATTGCAGTTCAAGTCAAGAGAAGTACATCAATAAAAAAACACTATTTCTTTAAAGCTGATAAAGACTAACCATATTCCTTAACTTCAAATTCTGCTGAGGAATTGGACATTGGAAAGTCTGTGAATGAAGCAACAATCTTCCAGGTGCCAGCCCTAGAAGAGACATGATAATCATTAAAATGTATTTGAGCTAATTTGTCTTCACATTTTTTTGTAATAATCATTTGAGACTAAGGCTATTTACATGACAACCTGAAAGAAACGAGAAGCTCACGGGAAACAGAAAGCTCCCATCATGCACTGGGCTGAGACTTGCAAAAGGCAGCTACTGTATGTAAAAGTTGAAGTTTGACCCTAAAACCAAATTTAAGATACTTTATTGTCCACTGCTGTGGAAATGTGTCTTTGGCTTCTCGCACAGAAGTACAAAACACACAAGCAAAATGAAAGAGTCACATAAAAGCACATGAAAGGAAAGGAAATTGGAATACTTACAAAGTCTTAGAAAGCAAATCTTACTGTGGACGATATAATGTCAATTTTTATTTAAGGTTAGCCTGAACACAGGGCTCTTTCTTTTCTTAAAAGATTTCTTATTGCCAATATTTTTTATATATCCAGCTAATTTGGAACTGCAAACTATGTTTAAGACTTGGCTCTCTGGCACAGACTTTCATACTAGCTGAGTAGTCAAGTGTTGGCATCTACAGCAGGGGAAGTACATGTCTCATAGACATTACTCCAGCCCTCAGTTGTCTCGTAAATCAGCTCAGTGTACCCTGGTTGACTAATCCCAGCCCTGCCACAGTGAGTTTGGGATTGACTCTGGCTTGATCTAGCGATATCTGGATTGTAGAACTCAACCTGCAGTCCCAGCCTTTTGTTAGTTGGTCTACTTAACGGTCCCTTGTGGCCATATTAAAACGCCCTTTTTCCCTTTCAAACTCTTAAACCACAAACTGTATGCAGATTAAAATCTAGCATCTGTTATTTAGATGTAGGTATACACTCATTAATCTTTAACACTAATTCAGTGTTATCAACCTTTTCTAAAACAAATAAATATAATATTTTATTAAGGCCGAGATGCAATAACTGGCAACATGTTTGTTTTATAGATGTTAATGAAAAAATAATTGTTAATTAATTTTGTTGCCCATGTGGATGCTTATAATGTTTAAAAAAACTCTAATGCTGCATTATTTTGTGAATATAGACCTTCTGACTATGAATAAGGGCAACAAAAAAGCACATCAATTTGTAGTGAATCTTATTATATCAAATAAATAATATGATTAATATTATTAATGTGAACTAAATTAACAAACCCTGTTTTTTTATTTATAACCTATTCAAACATATCCCCTGCTTTTTATATATTCCTAGTGAGGTGCACAGTAGAGTATAAACAACTTTAAAGCCAATGCAGAATATTTCTAATACACAAAACAATAGCTACTAACTAAATCAGACACAACTTACGGTTCAACATCTGGAATTGTTATGTGTTGCTTAAGAATTTGATTGGTTTTCTTAACAGCATTATACACCATCAATCCTTTAGAGTTCTGCAAAAAAAAAAGTGACTGAGCCATATATTTCTTAACTGTATGAACTCTGCAAGTTTTTTAAATCCATCAAATACAAATTTTATACAGTATTTAATCTTTTAAATCATGTTCAGAAATTGTGAAAACAACCATTCTGGAAATTACCTACTGTTTTCCAGTTTGACCTTTTCACTGACAATGTACTGTAGAATGACAGTGTCATGCAAGTGTTGCAGTCCTGCCTACATGGCTGTTTAACGACTTTCCCCTTATAATTATTAACCAAAATAATGTAATTATGTATATTAATGTAATGTAATTTTGTAATGCTGTAACACTAGTTCATGTATGTACAGTACTGTATGTTGCAATTTATTATAAGCAGTTTCTTCCCAAGATTTTTCCCTTACAATCTTTGCAAAAAGATTACAAGGAAATAAAGGTTCTTCCTAAAACCTATGAAGTCACTGAGAGAGAAATCTGACTGCTCCTCATTTGTTTTAAATACATGTTAATTTCACTAATAATGAGCTCAGAAGTCTTGGAAAAAGAAAATAATTTTGGAGCACCAGTCACCTAATAAGGATCATGAAGTGTTCATATGACCCAGTATACTGTACATCTTTACCTCAGGCCTTCAAAACAGAGCTGCCAGACACACACTTACAAATATATTTATTTTGACAGATTCATCTGACGGCACCATGTAGTTGTCCAATGTGAAAATTCGGTAATTTACTGAAATTAAGAAAAACAAAGTACAGTGTTAACTGGATTGCTAGTTGTTTATTGATTAATAAATTAAACTATGACTGATATAGAATTGGTATACTATCACTGAATAGCTTCTAATAAAAAAATTACCTATTTCACTTGGAGTATAGATTGGTTTATCAGTCTGAATAAAAATATAGCCCTTTTTGGTTGACAGAGTGATATGTAGTTTTTTTGGTGATTGAAAAATTTCTGGGCTCTTTGCCACCAGTGTCACATATGGCCTTTGACCTCCAGGTTTGCTTCTTGCGATACGATAGTTTGTAGGCTCCACCTTAAATGGAAACAAAATAGTTCAAAATCGAAAGTCTCAACACACGCACGACTGTTTGAAATTGATTGTATTTATAAACACTTACATACTATATAACATATACATTAATGCGGATAATGAATATGTTAAAAAACATGCAATGAAAAACATTTGGAATTTGGGTACTCAAACTCTATGAGTTTGTGTAAATCTTGCTGCTTCAAATATGGCCCATTTGGTAACCTGCTGCCTATACAGCTATTTGTTATTGTTCGTTTGGAAATTAGAATGTAAACCACACCATCAAATGTAGAACATGCTTGCTGATTTTGAAATTCACAACTACTTCCAGGTCAAAATGTTATTTGGGCACTATGTCCCGGACCAGGACCTTAGACTGGTTTGGGAAGCAATGATATTGATCATTTATTTTCAAGGACAGGTTTACTTCAAAGAATGAGGCTACAGACTAAATAATTCAGTACTTAAAAAGTAATACTAAATGTAACACAGCAGATGTGAATTAATTGTCTCCTGAACAAAAGACAAGGACATGGTGCATGGTGAATGTAATGGACACCTTACCTTCAGTTTTACCACTGTCTGGTAATTATTTTCTTCATTGAGTGAAACAAAAACTATGTTAGACAATATTGTCTGTGTTCTATAAGCCTGTTGATCTTCATAGTAAAGTTCAACATCAGCACTTCGAGTGGCTCCATGAAGTTGGACTGTCACAGTCTCCTCGACACCCAGATGAACAATGTTTGGAGCAGTAATCAGAATCCTGAGTGAAACACACATAGACAAGATCAAATTATACAGTAAGAGTTCAGCCATAACCTGATAGAGGTTAGCATAAGTGAAAACTCCTTATTGAGGATTGGGATGTTCATTAATAGTCAGTATCAATGTTCCCTTGAGTGCCAGTTCAAGAAATATTCAGAATAGCCCACCGTTGCAAAACCAAAGTACAGTGACATTTCAGTTTCAAATGTCAAAGTAATGTTAGCAGCAGATCAGAAAGCATGAAGGATTAGATATTCAAATGGAGCATTTTAGATAGAGCACGTTACACTTACCTCTTACAGTAAGTACTGAAAACAAGCAAAACTTGAAAATCCCTCCGCAAGGTTTAAAGCTGCTGTTTGTTCCAATTGCCACAGACCATGCTTAATTTAGAAATTTGTCTGTTATTTGACTGCATGTACAATTCAAAACGTTCTTTGCAACAAAACAACTAAATTTATTCTATTATTGAAAGGAGTTTACACAACAGTGGGATATAAATAAATATGTACAGTATAAAAAGACAAAAAATCTCAGTTTCTGACAAATAAAATACACACTTCAAAAGAGCCACTTGGCAGAAACATTCCTTTCACATTTGATTTTTTTAATGGACTAATGGATCATAAAATCTGAGTTTTGTTATAGAATGAGCCATGAACATTCACTGACATAAAAATACAGTACTTATTTTAAAATTAACATACACAGATACGCATTAGAATGGTTTCATATATATATATAACAAATGATACACCTAAAGATAAAGGAAATAAAAAAACAGTAAATCAGAAAACCACATCTGCAATTCAGTTGGACTTTCTACTACAAAGAACTACTTTTCTTCTGGGTCCAGCTTCTGTAGTACTTACAATGGTCTTTGCTCAGTAACTGCTGTCAGGATGGCAAGAGTCAGCATTAGGTAAAACTCCATTTTTCCTTTATGGTTCACCTCTTCTCGTATTCATCCGGGCAAAAATCACACTTCTTCTGAGATTGTAACTAAACAATTAGAAAATAATGTAGAAGTATTCACAAAGATGTGGGTGAATACAGAAATAAAGACACAATAATTGTTGTCTCAGGGCTCCCCAGGAAGGGTTTAAAATTGGCAAAAGCAGCAGGGTTTTGCAAGAGAAATCACATGATTTCCCAGAAATGGACTTTTGTTTTGTTAAAAAGTATTGGCCACTTGGTTCATGTAAAGTTTTTGTTAACAGAAAATGAGAAACAAGTTACTCAACTAATCACCCCCAAAAATGGCCAAGTGATCAAAGGCTTTCTAGAATACAACACATTTTAACACCAGATAAATTCTTCATCTTTAAGAACTACAGTAAGTGACCTTAGAGAAGAAAAATGAATTATAATACCAAGTGTGCCAGCATATTTGTTTTCACCACTTGTAAAAAATCTATAGCATGTAAATTCATTTAACTTCTATTACATCTATCAGCAGTATTATCAGAATATTTCAGAAGATAAGCAAAGCTGGTCCTATCCAGCACTGGAATGGGAGATTGGATCTCAGAGGAACCTAAAGAGGTTTCTTGCAGGAGGAAACCAAGTTCATCCCTCACTGACATGGCACAAACCTGGGTGACGTGCATAAAGCTGATCTGCATTTTCTTATTCCTATTTCCAAGAAACTTTGTCTCACTTATTTCTAACCTGTTCTGGTAAACATGCACCTACGGACACTTGATTTATTTTCCTCAAAATACAGTGTCCATTATTATGAATACCCTGATATTTACACCTTGTTTTTTTATTTATTTATTAGTTTAGAAGTATTTAAACTCTGTGGATATTTTATAAACCATTTTAAGAATTTTCTCTATGGAAATTTGTAATCTCCTACATCTAACACAGTTGCCACAATGTGTAATTCCCAGGTTCATAGTTGAATGTTTGTGTTATAATTCTTAAATATATATTTAAGAAAACTGAGGATTTTGACATAAAAACTTGCTTCAAATATAATATACATATAGAAATTTTGTATATTATTAGAAATGGCTCTATTTCCCTTTTTATTGTTAATTGCATTATATTGTTTCACAATTGCTGTTTTTTTATTTTATGTGTTATAAATTTAGGTGAACAAGGACAGACACTAAACCATATATTAATAGCTTAGTTTCGGACAGTAATTTATACCTTAATTCTCTAAAGAATAATAACCATCAAAGGCATTATGTACTGTACATGACTTTGGTTATGATATGGTGACTGTTTTCATTTTCATTGTGAAAGCCTCTTCTTTCAACTCTATGAAAACTTGAGACCATCCTAAAGCCTATTTTCAGTGTGCCAGAAAGAATCCTGTCTGCTTCTGCAAGCACAGTGTGATGCTATGGGGGTGCAGAATATTCTCAAAAAATCTATGTTGAACTTCACATCCACTGGGGTCGATGAAGCAACCTCACATTCTTGGAGAATTAGATACAAGTAAGAAGAGCAAAAGAGAGTCTTGGAAGAATGTAACGTCACTGGAAGCATGCCTTGTCAATACTGGGCTTATAATGTGACTACAGTATAACTTGACCCACAAGCAATACTGGGCTGTTATTCAGGTGCACATTAACATACAAAATACACTTTGATTTCACACACAAAAATTGAGCTTTTAAGAATGTAAAGCCAGTTCCCTTCTTCCCTTTTTTTAGAACAAATTGGATTTCATGATAAGCATTTATTCACAAATCAATACTATCATTTAATCCAGTTTAGAATAAATCCTTATTCTACATTATATTTACTACTATTATACTATTGCTCATTAACCCCCAAAATAGTTACAGAAAATGAATAATTTATATTTTTTGTCCATGTATAGATGTATTTTAATCAAGATGGATACAGCTATTACATAATCCAATTGTATACAGTAAAATGTGTTCATTCAGCTTTCAAAATCAATATGGAATGTCAAATTTTAGAAAGTGTACCACCTTTTCTTACCTACATTTTCCTATGTATTGACAAAACCTTTAATTGACTTGAATCATTACACCCATATTATTTGAAACGGTGAAAACATATCTTAAAAAATCTTTTATTTTGAACATCATATTCGGTTTGTGCTTCAGAGTTGTATGTTACAAATAATTACAGTACACAACCAGAGTTTTAACACTGACCAGTCCCCAAACCATATACACTGCATATATAGACTTACTATGAATGACAATAAAACCAATGATTTGTAATGAACTGTATAAAATACTTGAATCCCTTACTGAGATTCACAAGTATCGAGGAAATGGAAGAGTTTCTGATGATACTGTATATATCCATCCTTTATCTGAAGGTAAATTGTGGTAAAGGTCGAGGTACTCTCGAACCTATTTCAGAAGCATAGATCGCAAGGATGCCAATCCATTACGCAGCACATACACATGGACAATTTGGATACACTGATTATTCTAGCCAGCACATCCTTGGAAGGTCGGAATAAACCAGAACACTTGGTAAAATCTCATGGCAACACAGAGAGAACATGCAAACTCCTCACAGCAAGTGTCTGGAATTGAACCGAGAACCCAAGAGCTGAGACAGTACTGCTAACAGCCACGCCATTGTGCCTCCCGAATCCTTGATGTCATCTGATCACAAATCAACGTTTAAAATAATGTAGAACATACATAGCAAGCAAACATGTAAGGTTATGAGGATGCAAAACTGTGAATAAAAAGTGTTGCACTACAGGCTGCATAGAATTCCTATTTTTTAATGAAATGTTGTACATAATACAAAGACACAACACAAGAGAAAAATCAGGTCTGAGCAGTGCTCAAAGGCGCAACACTTAAACAAGGCATTTATAACAACAATAGTACAATCTATCCACTAGCACTTGAAAGATTTTGATATATAGTTTGATCAAGTTTCACAACAAGACTATGATGTAATTTAGAGATGTGGCTAAAGAGGAGTGAATTCTGGTGGTGTTAGAAGCTAAAAACAGACTGCAATATTTTATTGCCGTCTGGATGCATTCATCAAGTGTTCTACATGAGTAAATCTGGTGGGTGTGGCAGCAAGTGATGAAGTCAGGTGTCTGTGGATTTTGATTTGACCTGATAAGCTTCTTGAGAAAACAAAAAGTACAGAGAGGACCAGGCTGCATATTATTCCTCACCAACAAACTAGGATGCCTAGCATTTTTCAGCTGTTCAACGTATTCTAAAGATGAGTTTCATAAGAATCTTTGGTAGTCTATGGTAGTCCCTCATGCTTTGTGTCATTCATAAGCATGGTGGTGGGCACATGTTGTTCAATAACCCTAGTATTGTGGAGAAGCTAATAGAAAACACAGTATCTGTATCTGTTAATACAAAACAATAAATAGCCATAATACATGAATTCAGGATATGCAGTACAATTGGCAAAAAATGAACTAAACAAAACTAATAATGTAATGGCTGTCTCCATTCCTAATCTTTCTGTACAGTAATTGTTGCACTGTGAAAAATGAAACTGATTAGCACACCGATAAAAAAGTTAATGTTTTCCCTTTTACAGATTTCCACTTGCTTTACAAACCTCTTCAGAATATGAATAACCTTTTCAGCAATTGCTATACTACACACTGCTTAAAGACCTGGGGAAACAGCTTAACAAACAGTAATCTCCAATACAAGCTCATGTTGAACTTAATGTTTGGAGTTGTCTGTTATTCATATGAACATCATAGACACCCAGAGGTCTGTGGGTTCTGCAAAATAAATACAGTAGTATTTAAAACAAAAGATCTGCCTGTCTTAAGCACATAACATTAGACATGTTCCTAAGAAGACAGTATACAGTAGGTAACCTTATCTGATTAGAAAAGCATGACTAAAAAATACAACTGTGGTCTACCATGGGACATAAATGTACAGTATGCCTCCCACTAAGTATATGAATTAAGCTGAACCTAAAGGATCTGTTACTGCAATTCAGCAGCACAGCTGTCTTGACAAATGTTGTATAGTTTCTACTGAAAACCCTCCCTACTTGGAATTCTCAAATCAGTGCTAAATTTTCAAAGCCAGTACATCATTCATCACCATTCTCCTCAAATCATTACTGTTAGTGTATAATTTAAAAATAACAAAAACAACAATAATATAGCTAAAAACCTAAAAGTATATTAAAAGGACTGTTTCCTCAGTTGGTTACTATGTGTGATACAAAAAACAGTGTAGAAATAAATGTCTGAGGATTTATCATGTTGACACGCACAAGTTGGGCTCATTTATAACATGATTTATAATAAGATGTAGACACTATAACTACTCTGGCTGAGTTTTTTAGGAAATCCATTTCCTGGTTTAACAATGTACAGTACAGTATATACTATATGAGCAGCACAAATGCAGAAATCCTAAAAACAAAACAGTGAAAGATATGAGAATATTTAACAATACATTTGCTCCACCACAAGTGGTATCCAGTATACACTACAGAGAAACTGGAATATCAAATTCCAGTGAAGACAGAGCCTAGAACATTTGTTGTGGTATGCAGAATGTAACCATACAACTCAAGTTTTTTTCTTTCTCTCCAAGAAACAGTACAGTACCTGTGCTTGATCATCCTTTAGCTAAAAACAACTAATCATTTTTTTCAATAAAATTTTGGTTCTGGGCATTCTAATAAAAAAGCAAAAAAAATATATAAATGGCTTGTTGTCTCCCCGTGTAAAGTAACAACCACAGTATTACAATACCAGGTTAATAACAACCTCCCATTCAGAAGGATAAGCTGGAGATTCATTTGGAGAACAGGATATTTACTCGAAAAATCTCAGTGATGAACTTTGCTCAGCAGCAGAGTCCTACACAGCGTTTAAACTCAACTCTGCAGTCTGGAATCCAAAGTTCTACACTGCCACCTACTGTATCTTAAATAAGATGGACATGCTGAAGGGCATGATAGTAATTGATATTTTGGTTTAAACACATTACTTTGATATTCTGTTTCCATGTTTTATCTCTGATCAAAACCTTCCAAGAAACTTCTGGTGACTAATAAAGAAAATAATGTGTTTCAGTGATTTCAATAATCTGCTTTACATCAGTAAAATAAAGAGGTCCAGTATCTTAAGACAGGGGTCAGCCATTTTCCAATGTTCCTGTTTGTTTTGTTAGGCCAGATTAAAAATGAATCACATTGACAAGTTCATTTCAACCACATAATTTTTAAAGGTGAGCAGGTTACTCAAACATAATACCCAATTTCCTATTTTTAAGATCTGACATTTCTTGTCAGATGACAACAAACGTTGTGCACATAAATACGGTGAACAAACAGAAAACACATATTTGACTGCTAACAATAAATGGCCACTTTTACAACTTGTACAACAATCTGAACAGTTTAATTGAGCCATACAGTATGTGTTATAATTACTCCTCGAACACTATCTCTGCTCTAATAATCTAACAGGCCTCTTCCAAATTGGAAAAGGTATCCTTTAGCACCTTTGCATAACTACAGCCAAATTATTCTATTTGGAAGGGGGTGGGGCAAAAACAAAATTAGCCTCAGGTACCTCTCGTTAAAAAGAATATTTGCCACAGAATATTTGCTGCTGGTGAAACATCGAAAAGCAGCACTGCTGTAGTTTTTGAACTCATGTGACTTTCAAAATGGAGTGCTGGGGATGGGCCTGGAGTCAGCTGTGTTGGTGTTTCACAAAGGTGCTCCCAATCAGTTCCAAGGTACTCATTTGAGGCACTTGTGAAAGTCGAAATCTCCTGTAGCCTGCAGTTCGCAGCTGCGCGTTTTGTACGTGTGTTTTCATCAAACCTCTGAACTGTCGCTACTATGGCAACCATGTGACACCATCGGCTCTGTGCTGGTTGACCCTGTGGGAGCCTGCTTCTCCTTGGCCTTCTGCTTGGACCTGACCACCAGGACAATGATAACAACGATGCAGATGGTGAGGAGCAGTCCGGCCAGACCCACCACGATGGTTACCAGGTTGTCGTCATCATCTTTACTGTTGAGCTCGCGGGGAATGATGCCGTTTCCGAAAACTTCCCTCTCGGGTTGCTGCTTCCTGCTGATGCGGTCCAGCGCAATGTGTAAAATGTTGGTTCCCCTGCTGTTTTCCACCCCAATCTCCTCGGCTATTTCTGGCACCTCTCTGGCTTCCCTCCTGGAGCGGGAACTGGCTGCTGTACTAAGTTTACTGCTGTGCGTCAGTGAGTGATACTGATATTCGAGGCTTCTTTTGCCAATCCCCCTGTTGGCATTGTCTCTTGAACGTACTGTATAAATAGTGTGGATATACCACTCTCGTCCAGTGGACACCTGCAAGCAGAGATTCACATACTGTATTTGTATTTTTGTACATACAGTACTAAAGAAAATGTATAAACAAGCACATATTAGGAGTATATTAATGATACCCATATGGATTACTGCACTGACACTGAACAATCTGACCATCATCCAGTTTAGCCAGGATTTACAGCAATGCTAATGAGGCAATCAGCTATAGTCTGAAACATCTGCTTTGTGGGAATGTGGACTTCCTTTGGTAGACAATGCCCAGATCCCAGTAGATTTTATTTTATTGTTAACACATTGTCACACTGTACTTGTATTCTCTTAAAATTGAATACCTATGGAGTTATTAAGTGGGGGGTACTTAAACAGTTCTTAAGTGCCATTCTCATACAGGGAAAGAAGCAGCTAGAATAAACCAAGTCTTGTTAAAGAATAAATAATCTTGCATTTGTATTTTTAAAAAGCGACCCTCCCTGCCGTGCAGGTATGAGGGTGACACTAGTAAAGTTCAGCAAAAGTGGCTAACTGCAAATTCAGTGGGTGGATGAGAGCCAAAATACAAACAAACCTGGAACAAAGCAGTAGAGTCAATTCTGAAACCATCTGAACCCGGTTGTCTGACAAGAGAAAGCGCCTCTTGGTCATCCACAGCCAGACGTGCATTAAATGCCACATTTCCGAAATTTCTGGCTTGCGTCTCTGGCTGGGCTTTGTCCTGCACAACAGGAGAAAAGGGGAGACAAAGGTATGTAAAGCATTTCAAAGCAGGCTCACTGTGTACAGGCTGTTATAAACTCAGTAGCCTTTACTAACTGATATTGTGTATATGTAATGCAGTGCTAAAATCCATTTTTTTAATTTAATTGACGTGACGTGTTTATATTAACATTGTTATTATTTTTAAGGAACAAGTAAAGATTTATTCCATGCTGAAAAGAGACGAAAAGAAGCACAACGTTTTGGCTGTGGAGCCTTCTTCGGGTGTTATTATTTTTATGTATGTGAATCAACCGCTGATTTACTGAATGGCCAGCAAGAGGCGTGAGCGAGGTCGCTTTTTCATGTTTAAAAGTATAATACAATAGCAAATGTAGCACTGTGGTGAAACACAGCAGTGCTAACTATCAATCTTTTTAAGTTTTCAGGTAAGCTGGCAGTAAAAATGTCATCTAATGTGCAAAAAACATAGATTTACTTTGATAAGTTATCTTTTCAGTTTAAAAGTAAAATATAACCACAAATATTGCACAGCAGTGTTTTTTATAAATCTTTGTAAATTCACAGTAAACCTAAAAAAACACATCGCTTCATTCTTGTAGTGCAACATACTGTATACTGTATGTGTGCTTTTTGATAACAGACAAAATTGTAACTGGACAAAACTATGGTTTGACTGATAACCAGGTGAGCTCCCTATTTCATCTGCTAACTCAGTTTTTTTTGTGTGAGAAGGTTTGCTTTGAAATTGCTTTGATGATCTCAAAGGCTGAGAAAGTGTGAATGTTTGCCCACAACTGCTCCTTAATTTGTACTTTGTAATTTCTTCAGTAAAATGAAATGCACAGCTTCCAAACTCTATGTAACAGCGAAAAAATACAATTTTTGACTGAACACTGACCTTGGTTTCCCTACTTCCGCCTTGAAAATAAACTGTCGTTATGACAGACGATCAAAACCAGTTACTTGTTTTGTGTTGGCAACAATCGGGCAGCCATTACTCACGATGATCTTGAATCTGTACAGCAGGGAAGGGGAGTCTGCCAGGCAGCCAAATTCAAATTTGGGAGGGTTGTATTTGGGAACATATCCATCAGCTCCAGTGCACAGAAAGACTTTCTCAATGTTACAGATGAAGGAGTCCCCCAGATTCTGCACAGGGTCAACCATCACTCGACCATAGATCACATCCCCTGGGAAGAGCAAAACTAGGTGGTGAAGAGGAGGATCTTGGACAGATGTTGTGGCCATATTAATAGATGTTTGAAGTTAAAACTGCACAGAAGTAGAAGTGTGGTCTTTAGGCACCACAAAATATCCCGCTTTTCATTCCGAGACAGCACAAAAAATCAATAATTAAGCGGATAAGCAAATAATTTATAAACAATTTTACTCATTGTTTTTTATCTTAAGCTGCTAATGATTTGTACTGTAATTTGCAAAACCCGTATGAGTTTGTCCTATCAAACCAAGAGATGTGTATTCGTGTCTCAAGAGTGTTAATAAAATATCAAAAACACTGATTTAATACTTCCAGTTGAAGTTTTTCATTTTGATTTTGAAACGTAAAATAGACCAAGATAAATTCATTTGTGATAAATTTGTGACAGCAAAAGTAACGTAAGTAAATAAAACAAAAATATGACCCTTGATAAGGAGAGAAAATGTGAAGGATACTAAAGGTTAATATCAGTATGTCAGTATACATGTCTAAAGCAGTGAAGTTCTCTAATTATTAACTATAAGTCACTGATTTTAAAGTAGCCCTTTAATTGTGTGATGCCCTACCTTCAGTGAAAGCAGTATCGCTCTCTTGTCCAAAGCCCATTGAGCCATCAGACAACCATAGAGCCTTCTTTGACAGCAGAAACATCTGTGTGTTTAAGCTGAATTCAGCAGCAACAGGATCACTGACCTTGAAGAAAAAAAGTACAATATAAAAATAAAAACTTTAGATTCTTACATTCATTGCAAATAAAGAGCAACTAGAGCTTTTGTGAGAAAATGTCTAATTAACACTGTATGAACAATAAGACTGTTTGAAGAATAAGATACAAAGGAATTCTATGAAAATGAAAATTTAAATATTTGAACACCTTTATAAGACAATTTGAATATTTGAATTAGTTTGAAAAGGTATAGAAGTTTAAGAAGAACAATTAACAAAATTGATTATAACCAAGATAAGTATGGTGTTCAGTTAAAATGGGCTTGTATCATAAGCAGCTGTCTGGCATTTAAAATGTGCATAAGATAATAAAGATTTTTGTAGAGCTCTGTAATGTAAAAATTGTAAAAGTAATCAGGTATTCTTCTTCTTATTATTAGTAGTGTTATGATAGTTTTATGTGTTTTTCCTTATTTTCATAAAAGAAAAAATAAACTGACATAGTTTACAGACAAGGAGGACATGAAACAAACAATGAAGAATCTGGTGATTTACTGTAAAATCTTGAGGCGTTCCTGGAAAGCTCTCTAAAAAACCTGCCATTAAATACTGTATCAAACAAAACCTTGCACAAAACACTCACTGTATCAAAATTGGCCTTTGCATTTAACCTCATCCTAAGGTTTAATTCTAAAAACTAAGGAAACAGACAAACCTACAGTAACTCCAGAAAAAAACAATGTTGACAACATCTTTCACATGTCTCTGTGCTAGAACACTTGTGGATCAGCAGAGCTTGTTTCAGGGTACCTGTTGGAATCTAATGTCAATATCAAAGGTGATGGGTTCCCTAGGGTTACAGACAGCAGGAATGCTGTATTCCAAAGAGGGAGAGGCTGGGCAAGGGATGAGCTTCACTGTGTATGTGCCAGAATAATCACGTACCTAAGGAACCAGAAAAAGCAACAACAAGCAGATTAGCAGAACAGGTAATGCATATTTAGGCTGGTGTGAATTCTGCTTTCTAATGTGGGCTAATAAAACTGAAATCATTACATGTCTGTCTCCAGGCAGACTGAACTCCAAGCTTTCATGCTTGATCTATTTTGCTCATTTGCAGCTGTAATAGTTTTCTATTGGGCTAATTTACATGTTCTGGAACTCTGTTGTGAGTCACACAATATATAAATGAACAGATTAAACTCTTTAAAAACTTACTTTTGGAATCTTTTTTAAATACTGAAGGTAGTTCTCAAGGTCACACAACTGATGCAGGGTATAATGCCAAATGAAAACTGAGAGGTAATTTATCACGTTTAATCCTTCATTTTTAAGTACCCTTTTTAAATTTTAACTCAAAGAACTGTCCTCATAAAAAACAACTCAGGACGCAGGTACATTTAGGATAATACAGAACTGCATACACAGCAAGATTTTGTGCAAGAAAAAATCAAATTTGAAAGCAGCAATAATTCTGTATGTATAAGTAAGTCTCCAAATAACTTCATCAATGTCTTACAAGCTACTGTATCTGCATAAAAAATAAGGCTGTTCTTACAGCAAAGTCAGAGACAAAGGTCCATTGTTGCATTGGCTGGTTGTAGGTAGGTTCACTGCGGACCAAACTCAAGTTGAAGGTTAGACCTGGATGATCAGCACACATGACCATCGACGAGAGAGATGTGGCTGCAATAACGAAAGAGATAGTATTTGTAAAAGGGAAACACTGATATTTTGTGATGTATATTGTATGTAATAATACATTTATCTTGAGCCATGAAGTAGGGGAAAGGGTTGTATAACTGATTGATTCCATATTTTGGAGGTGAAAATGGAATTGTTAGACTGTCACAAGATACATTATTATCCACCCAGGGGTGCAGAGTAAAGAGGGACATAAAGGCTAGGAATAGGATAAAGAACAATTTTAAGGTAAGGTCATTTTGTTTTTCAATTTTCAAGAGTGACCTTTGCTGAGAAGGTGTCCAGCAAGACCATTTCCTGAAATTTCTCGTACTCAAAATGATGTGAAAATTAGTGAGACCTCCCGTTCACAATCTTTTTATCGCGATCAGATGAGAAGTCTATTTTAAACAGAGCGCACAATTCCCATTAATGTTGTCTTGGACTTAAAAAGCCAAGCCTACTGGTAAACTCACCAGAATGCGATGTCACAAACAGACCACGGAAGCGAGCCTCTGTCCTGAAGTTGACCACAAGGCGGCCCAGCTCATTGATACGCATGCTGGTGGGGTACAGTGCACCTACAACAAACAAAAGTTTAGGAATTCTTATAAATCTCCAATAGGCAACAAATATGCTGGGCCTATTGTCTGAAGCACAACAGACTCCGATTTGGTTTAAACATAACGACAGTCATAGAAACCTTTTAAGCCATTTTACACACTCTGTGTTTACGTATTTTTTTGGTACAGGTCCCAGAGTCATTTAAATTAGTTATACCAATTTCACTCAAAATTATTTTCTTTTGAATTCATTCTGAAGTCATCTGAAGAGGGGTACCATGTTGTCCCATTGTTAACATAAAGTCTGTTTTTAAAAAAATATTTATACATCTACGGGGGGGAAAAAAGACTTGGTGAGAAGAAATCCAAAATTAAGACCTAACTCGCTGCGACTTGATTTGTAGCACAGGTCCCACTCAGTACTGAGCCCGATTCCACTTGCCTTGGAGCTCAGCCTCTGGAGGGCTGCCTATTCCATCCTTCCACAAGATGGCAGTGTCGTACACAAATGTGAGCCTGAGCTCGGACTGCAGGTCGAAGTGCTGCCAACCCCCTGCCCCCACAGGCGAGTGAAACACGTAGGACACATGGAGAGGCACCCGCAGGGTCACGTAGGACTGGACAAGGTTCAGCACCTGCCGGCACAAGAGGAATTTCTTTAACAACCCACCACACCCACAGCAAGTCGACAAATAAAGTGCTGTCTGCTGTTTGCACGTGCATATTTTTATCTCTTACATGGTCACCATTATATACCACATTAACACTTGTTAATTGTCCTACACATATCCCTAATTGAAAACACTACGGAATCACAAATACTCCAATTCAACTATGCGCTAATGGGTTTCTTACTGTATGTGTTAAATGTAGAAATACACTAAAAGCAGCCTTCACTGTTCAGTCTGTTACCGTGCACAAGGAGCATTTGCTTTACACTACTGTTACACATCTTTAAAAATAATATTAAGAGGAGTACACTCAGGTCATGAAATATTTTAGGTAAATAAAACAGTTGATAAGTCACTTATCATAAGCACAGAGAAATTAAAAAGCACATGGCCTGAAAAACTGCCTGCAGAATCACAATCAAGTTGTTCTACAAAAACAGTATTTCCACATCAGGAATATATTAAGCATGACATTATCTGTGGCTTCGCATTTGAAAAGAGACAATGAAATATGGGATAGGTTTTTAACTAACAACATCAAGCGATTAACCACAAAAATGTGGGCTTGACAAAACACAGACAAACTCCCATAGTTTTGGAATTACAGTACTGGGTTAAAGGAGATCAAACCACCCCATAAGGTGACTATAAATTTTATAAGTCAGTGTTTGAAATTTTTTTTTAGTTTTAAGTGTGTTATCTTCATCTGCACCATCTTGTCACGAACAACACCATTTTGCATATATCATATGGATTTAATCCAGCCTCTTGCATGTTCATTTTAGTGCAATTGAATAATTATTTTATTTTCTTTCAAAGCTTATTGTGATCTTCCATGACATTTTTTTTTTTTATTTTGGTTTCTGGGTATAAAGTTGCTTAAGTGTTTAACAGAAGAGCTTTGTTGATTCTCTCAGGATCTTTCTGAAGCTTCAAAAAATCTGAAGCTTCAAAAAGACTGTTCAAAATGTTCAGTTACACTTTGTCTTGACATAGTGTTACTCAAATTACTCTCTGTACATGTAGGAACTTTGTGAAGGTATAATGAAAAATCAAAAACAGTTGGCTAAGATGAAACTGTAAAGCAGTGTAAAAAGAGAGTATAATTTCTTTATGCTAATGAAAGTTCAGGAAAAGGACAAATCTGGCAATCACCAACCTCAAGGGTGTAAAAACAGAAAATGAGATGACTATTTCTCTAGGTTCAACACGCTAACACACCTTCACCATCACCAGAGCTAGTGCATGAACCTTTTGGTTTATCGAACAAGGTTATGACTTCCTAATCTGTACGACAAGACTATCAGCCCTCAAACCAAGCAAGGTAAAGCCAGACATACCAATAAATGCTCTTTCTTTCTCACTGCGGCAATCTCCTTGGGAGATATCTGTATTCTTTGAGTATTTGCTAGCTTTTCACCACCACAAAATTCATACCACTTAACAAAAAGATACACTTCAATGCAGCTAGACACTTATCTGACTTGCTCACAGGTGTATTGTGACCTTTTCACATTTTTTCAGGGGATTTATAACTAAGGAAAAGCAAACATTGAAATTCCTTCATCTACTCTTGTGAAACATGACTTCAGACCATGTCAAACATTACCAAAATAAATCTGTTACACCTTCAATTAACATATGATCACATAATGTACATCATGAATATTTTGCATCATTATTTGTACTTTTGTTGTATGAAGAATGCAACATTTTAAATATTTCCTATGCATATTTAACATACAGTAAAAAATACAAAAACAGTCCCACTTTTTGTAGAACTTTTCTTTCTAGCTGAAGATTACTTTTTTCCACTTTCTGATAGTTACAATAAAGTGTAGTGAATAGACACCTACTGTATGCTTTATGCAGTGTTGTTTCTCTTGTAAAGAACCTTTACATTTCAATTAAAAATAGTATGGAAATACTCTCCAACCTTCTTTTCTATGTGAAAATTATACCAATTGAGTTTTTCAATGTCATTGTGAGATTGCCAGGTACATATACTGTAGTATAATGCTATGACCTACAACTAAGGACAAATTTGCTAGTGTTAGTGAAATTGTCATGCAAAGAGACCTGTTTTCTCTTGTGTCAAGATAACCAAGGTAATAAATGATTTGCTACAGGGCCTCCCAGACCAAATGCCTTTACTAAATGGATTCCTATAACTCTGTCAAGCTGTGCACAAAACATTTAACCCCAGTTAAAACCCGTAGGCTGAATCCATGCACCTACTTTTTGAGGGACTACTATAAAAGTAGCAAAAATAGGGAAATAACCTTTAGTAGGAAAAAAGAAAAACAGAAACATAAAGGTGAAAAAATACGCAGTCTTTCAATTCACTAATTAGATATTTTGCGACAAAATCCTGTTATGCTACAAATGCAGAACATCAACCCTGTTCTTTTTAAATACCTAAAAGGATACTCATGGTGAGTATTTACAACTTTCTTTCATTTCACCTCTTTTATACATTTTCATTTTTTTTTAAGTTCTTTAAAATAAATAGACTTTCTTTTCATGTAATAAACTGCACTTAGAAAGGGATATACTGACATTTCACCTTTAATGTTAAATGATTAAAGGCGGTAACAAGTTATAATCCTATTCCAAAGTATTCTAGTATCAGGATGTGTGAGGACTAGTATATAGTTCATATCAGTGAATATGTCATATCTTAACATTTTTACATAAACAATTGATAAAAATGAAAGTATAAATACAGGAGTGCTCCTGCTGAGGTAAATATTACCCTAACTATTCTAAACACTGGGTACATTTTCAACCTTACTGGCAGTTAATATTCAACTTTTTCTTTCTTTTCAACATTCCTGACACAGAAACAAAATATTTTAGCACCTTAAATATTAACACCTTTCTTAAAATCTTTCTAGTGTCTATGCAATAAGGCCAATATGATTGTCAAAATCCTTTCACTTCATTCTTTTTAATGTCTTTAGCGGGAAAGATTACAAAGATGCATTGTTTATACAAGATAAGAAACCCTAGAGTTTATAAGACATGAAATTATCCATTAGTATTGCTGTGATAACCAAATTAATAAAAAATAAGATATTAATTAATTTGTGGCAGCAGTGTGGACTAGTGGCTACATTCCTGGACTCATAACTGCAGTAATGTCAGTTAAAATCCAGGGCTATACTGTACCCTTGAGTGACATACAGTACTCAGCTGTATAAAAGGGTACAAATGTACTGTAAGCCACTTAGAATAAAATGGAACACTAAATAATTTATTGATAATACTCCGACAGTAAATAGTAATGCTTTTAAAGCTTTTTAGTAGCAAAAGTTGCCTTTTTTAAAAGGACTAATGTCACTGAATGCAAAACACTTTCCTTCTATGGATCAGATGAGTGCAAATTAAAATGTATTGTAATTTGTTTCCTTGTTTATTTACAGAACTTAAATGACAATGATTTGTATGTACTTATATATTTTATTATAAAAAAACATTTTTGCAGCTCCACCACGATTTCAAATGGCACATAACATTCATAATTTCAAATGACATAAGACACGTTTTACTTTAAATCCTGTTATTTTAGATAATAAGCCCCTAGGTTTAAATGAAATAATCCCATTGGAAAAGAAATGCGTGAAGCCTTTTAGTTAAAAGAAAGCTCACAAAAAATACAATTGATTACAGGCCCTATGCCCATAAAACATCCAGGGTCTTGCTACAAAAGTGCGACAAAGTAGTTGCCTTGCTGAACTATAAATCATAGTGTACTTCACTAACACTAAGATGTTTAGACAACAGCTTTTGTGCTATTTTATTTACGATTAAAACATTTTCAATTAACTTAAATTATCTGTAATTACAATGGAATGTGTTTCCAAGTTGAATATGAAACACTGCTTCCCTCAAGCATGTTTACAGTGGAACGTAAACAGGCTTCAAAAACCTGCCCTTCAAAATATAAAATACAAATTTAAGAAACAAAATGAATTGTACAATTTCCAGCAACTACTCTATATACTATAGCTCTTATGTTTTAAAGGCTGGGCCACACAAAAAGAGCTAATTCCTTGCATATACTGTATATTGGTCCATTAATACCTAAGGATTTGCAAAGCACTTAAAGTACAGCCTAATCACCCTTATTGTGGCCCAGAGTTCACTACCTTCAAGCTAGATTCATTCTGAGGTTCAGGTACTGTAAAAGTGACGACGTAAGTCAAATGCAAGTAAGGCAATGATATTGGTAGATGTCTTGGCTCAAAGCAGCGGTAAATAAGAATATCTCCTTTCTAAAAATACAGGCTGGAAAATTTTAAAGTATAATTAATTACTTTCACTAGCACTGAGTTTACAATTAAGGCCGGGAACACAGAAATACATTAACTTGCTGGTGTTGTCAATATGGCATGTAATGATTTGCATGTGCCTTGATATAACAACAGTACATCCAAATTCAGAGTGCAAACTGTTTTTAATGGGACTAGATTTTTTATGGGGTTGCATGCCATTTTTAAAAGCCTGAAATGAAGGTCAATTATACATGCATTTATTGTCAAACTCACCTAGTTATTTATTATTAGCATTAGACACACAGTGGAAAGGTGAAAGCAGCGTAGTTTTTTAGGCACAGATCAGGAATAAAATAGAAAAGGACTCCAATGAGAGGAGAGAAGACAAAAACACAAAGAGTTATATCACTATATTGCCATGGTATAGCTCATCTGCAGCTTTCAATGTTTTTTTCTAGTTTTATATATAGGAAAATATAATTCTGTATTTCACGGAATCCAAAAATAATTGGTTCAGGTAAGACACTAAAAAAATAGACAAACAATTCACCAAAAGGCTAGCAGGTAGTAATTTCACTCTAAGGTTGTTTTCCAACTGTGCTGGTATCCTTATTAAAATAAGAGGATATGGAACCAGTACCATAATATTGTGGTCAACACTTGTTCCTCCTGCCAAAAAGAGATAATGCAAATGAACACTTGTCATGAAAAAGAATAGACAAACTAAATATTGTTCTGGTTGAAGACCAGAAGGACCTGTCATACTGAAACTTGAGAAAGAGATTGCACCAGCAGGGCAAAGGCCATTGGACAAAGGTGGGTCTTCATCCTCAAAATGACAAAGAAGGAGAGTTAAATATTGTTTAGTTGAAGATCCAGAAAAAGGACCTGTCAAACCAGCAACTGAGGAAGAGATTGCAACAGTAGGACAACACCCACTGGACAAATACGGATCACTGCAAAATCATTAAGAAGGAGAATTAAAAATTGATCTGGTTAAAAACCCAGAAGATGGGCCCCTCTTACATGTAAAGGGGTAAAAGGTAAAGACTGAAAGTAAAGGGATGGAAATTCAAGATCAGACTGTTTAGGAAATCGTTAAGAGCAGGTGGACACTCTTCAGAAAAATGCCAAAGTTTGGGGAAATAACTGAAGAACAGCTGGGACAGCTCACTATTTATACTGCCTGCTGAGATTCGAAAAGTAAAAGTGAGAAAGGTTACAGAAAGCCTTAAACTATGCAAAATCCAAAAGGATATGAAGTTAAATTCATAGCAACACTACAGTTTCAGTAGAATTTTGTTTGCAGCTACCTGTACAGGTAGGTAAATGTAGTGTATCAATAATGCTATTTACAATGTTAAAAATTGTCCGCCTAATTGCCTCAGTATTGGGTTGGGGGTATGTACTGTATGTAACTAGATGTGGCCATTTTGTAAGATGTTCTTGTTTGTCTCTTTCAGAGACCCCCCAGAACCCCTCAGTGCTGTGCAAATGCTGCAAGAAGGTAGAAAGAGGGAAGCAGCTGAGAGAGAAGAAGAAAATAGCAGAAAGCAAAAAGATTTAAACAAAGACATGGACTGTCACTATTATTATTAATGTTGAATAAATCTTCCATATACTGCACATTACAATTGTGTTTGATCTTTTTTTCTAGATTTATTCCGAAACGTCATGCTGTATACTGTAAATCATGAACTACAGTACCTATATATGTATATATGTTATATGGTGTCTTCAAGTATCAAATTACATAGGTCTTAGATTAAAAACAATCATGAGCATTTTTTAAAAGACCTACAGAATGCTCTGCCATTGTGAGGTCATCATGACATCAAGGTTCCAATCATCAGAAAGTCATGATTGGAACCTAAACCAGGCATTTGCATTCTTGCTTTTACAGAGTGAGGATGGAACTTCAGTTCTGTGCAAAGTTACTGCTGGCCTTTGTCCTTACAACAGTAGGACAATACCCACTGTACAAATATGGGTTGGTTCCATATGTTGAAGAGGACAAGCTAAATATTGTTCTGGTTGAAGACCCAGAAGAATCTCTTGTGCCAAAACCTGAGGAAGAGATCGCACCAGTAGGGCAAAACCCACTGAATAAGAATGGATCACCTCAAAATGACAAAGAAGGAGAATTAAATATCATTCTGGTTGATGATGAGCCTGTCTTACTTGTACAGGAGGAAAAGGTGAAGACAGAAAATGAAGGCTTGGAAATTCAACACCAAAGTGTTGAGGACATGGATGAGAGTAGATGGGCATTCTTTAGGAAAATGCCAACGTTTGGAGGAATAACCGGAGAACAGCTGATTGTGCTAATAGACTACATTGGGACAGCTCACTGTTTATACTGCCTGCTGAGATGGGCAAAGAGACGTCTTACAGTGAGAGAGGTAACAGAAAGCCTTAAATGCCTGAACTATTCAAAATACAAAGGAATCTGAAGTCAGATTTATGGTGACTTGTATTGTTTTGGTATAATTTTTTTTAGCTAGGTAAATTTAGTTTCACAATGATTAATATTGTTAAAAAATGCCCGACTGAATTGCCTCAGGATTGGGCTGGAGTACAGTAGGTACAGCATATAATTAGATGTGGCCATTTTGAAAGATTTAGTGTCTTGTTTGTCCTGATCCCTGTTCTTTTTTGTCTCTTTCAGGCTGAAAACCCCCAGAACCCCTCAGTGCTGTGCAGATGCTGCAAGAAGGTGGAAAGAGGGAAGCAGCTGAGAGAGAAGAAGAAAAGAGCAAAAAGCAAAAAGATTTAAACA